AGTATAAAACAGGGATTAAAAAAAATTTGGGGGTAAAAGGAGTGGGTCATAAATACCTCCCAGGGAAGGTGACATTTATACTAGGCCATGAATGATGTAAGATTTTAACAGGCATTCATGGGGGTGGGGCAGGCATTCCAGGCTTAGGGAACAATAGGAGCAAAAAATATATATATATACACACACACATATATATACACATATATATATATACACATATATATATATATATACACCCATTTCCTGGGGTCTAACCAAAAAAATGGATGGGATGAGTATGAGAGGCTGGGGATATTTGCTTTATGGGATTTGGGTGTGGGACTAGGGTACAATGAAGACCAAGAACAACAGGAGCAAAAATAAGGAGGCAAAATAGTGCATACGAGAATAGCTCATGGTACATCCTGACTAAAGTGTAAAATCAGGAGCTGGGATAGACCTATGGGGCAGAAGAGCACCAGATGATGAGCCTGAAAATTAGGTCAGGGGCAAGTCAGAGAGGACTTTCAATGGCATATAAGAGTTAAAGCTTTATTTCTAGGCCACAGGGAGCTCCAAAGGCTAGAAAAATGACACAATCAGAGCTGTTATTTAGGCAATTTACTTTGGAACCAGTATAAAGGAACCATTTATGTAATTATTCAAGCAGGCCTTTGCTATGTGCCAGGCACAGGGCTGGGTGTTAAGGATACGGCAATGACTTACACAGTCTGTGCTCTGAAGAACTTGAACTTTAATCTGCTACAGGATGGATTTGAAGGAGGAGAGACAGGAATCTGGGAGAGCAATTGGAAAGCAAATCTGGTTGGATCTGCTTTCAAAATACATCACCTTCCCTACTATTACCACCACTCCGGCCCCTACCAGCTCTCAGCTCTCACTTGGACTTTAAGAGAGGCCTCCTAACTGGGCCCCTGTTCCACCCTCATCTGCCCTGTAGCAACCACACCACACCTACTCAGCACCCACGGTAGCCCTTTTAAAAATGCAGTCTCATCATGCCCACTCCTGTGGTTTTTTTCTTGCTTTTTTTTTGTTGTTGTTGTTTGTTTTGTTTGTTTGTTTGTTTTGAGGCAGAGTATTGCTCTGTCGCCCAGGCTGGAGTGCAGTGGTGTGATCTCGGCTCACTGCAACCTCCACCTCCCTGGTTCAAGTGATTCTCCTGCCTCAACCTCCTGAGTAGCTGGGATTACAGGGGTGAGCCACCATGCCTGGCTAATTTTTGTATTTTTAGTAGAGACGGGATTTCACCATGTTGGCCAGGCTGGTGTCGAACTTCTGACCTCAGGTGATCCGCCCACCTTGGCCTCCCAAAGTGTTGGGATTACAGGTGTGAACCACCACGCCCGACCTTGACTCCGGTTCTCAGCCCGCCTGTAGCTGCCCGTCATGCTGAGAATCAAATCTAGAGTCTGTGTCATGGTCAAGTGGCTCATAACATGATCCCTGCCTTCTTTTCTCACCTGATCTTCCACTGTCCCTTCAAACACCCATTGCAGCCACACTTGCTTCCTTGCTATTCCTTGAACACATCAAACCTGGTCACAGGGCTTTTCTACCTGCTATTGTAGTCACCTGGAAGGTTCTTCCCCCAGTTTTCCAAAGGGTTTGCTCCATCTCTTCATTCGAGAGAGGTTTTTCCTAACCAGTAACCCCATATAAAAAGCTTTAGTTTTCTTTAAAGAACTTATTATCTGACACATTACATATTTATTTTCTGGGCCCCTCACCAGAATGTAAATTTAATCAAGGTAGAGATTATACTTTATTGACTGATATATCTGATATATCACTAGAGGCCATCACAGTGTCTAGCTCAGATTCAGATGGGTTCTCAACAAATATTTGTTGAATGAACAAAGGAAGCTATTGCCATAGCCCAAAAAAGCTCAGAATGAAGCAGTGGGGAGGAAGAGAAAGAATTCAGGGATCTTTCTATATGAAGGGATCATACCCTGCTGCCTGCTTTTCCCTGACTCCCTCTTTCCAAGGAAACTAAGCTAGGGGGAGGGAGGCAATGGCAGGCAAGAGACATGTTTAAGCCCCTTGGTTATAGAGGAGACTGCAAGAGATAAATTGTTCTTTCAGCCTTGCTCCGGTGAGGTCTCCCTGCCTCCGTCTGCTCACTGATTTCTGCGCCTTTTTCACCTTCCCTTTGGCTGAGTGCTGGCAGCGTTGGTTTGACTTGCAGTGTTAGGCGCCTGCTTAGAAAGTCTGTTTAGTTCAAAGAGTTATTAAGCATTTGCCATGTGCTAAGCATTATGATAGGCACAGAGGAGACAGGGAAAGAGAGACCCCAGCTAAGAAGCTGAAATCTAGGGTGGGAAGGCAGACAAATTGGACCATTTTCCTGCAATGTGGTAAGTGCTACACAGAGGAAAGCCCAAAAGAAGGACCTTAATCCAGATGGGGGGAGTTAGGGAAGTAGTCTTAGGAGAGGTGACACTAGAGGGTAAGAATTAGGAACGGGAAGAGGGAAACAACATGCACAAAGGCAGAGGCATGTGACCGCATACAACAAGAGTCACAGACAGTCACTCTTATAAAAGCATGAAGTGCACATTAGAGTCTTTGATAAGGTTCATTCTAGAAGTATCGGGAACACAAATTGAGGGCTTCACCCAGAAAACATTCACCTGTCCCCCACCCACTCTCGCTTCCCTCCAGTGTCCTGAACACACTCGTACTTCTACCAGTGGGATTTGACTGGTACCAAAGTGCCAAGTACATAAGGGGAAGGCAAGGAGGGTTGGTCCTAGCCCAGGAAGAATGAGCAGACTTCTTTGCTCTGCGGAGAGCTGAAGTATTGACCCTCCCTTCCCCATTAACCCATATCCAGCTGCCACCCAAGGGGAAGCTTCGGAGCCTGTGTAGCCAGCACGTGGAAAGGCTGCAGATCTTCCAGCACCTCCACCCCATCGTGGTCCAAGCCGCTTTCCCTCCACTCTACAAGGAGCTCTTCAGCACTGAAACCGAGTCACCTGTGGGGCTGTCCAAGTGACCTGGAAGAGGGACTCCTTACCTCTCCCTATGGCCTGCTGGCTCACCTCCCTGGACCCCGTTCCACGCTCGGCCTTTTCGTTTCCCATGAACCCTGGAGGGTGGTCCCCACCAGCTCTTTGGGAGTGAGCAGATGCTGCGACTGGCTTTCTGTCCGCAGGCTGGCCTGGCAGTGGGACAATCGCCAGAGGGTGGGGCTGGCAGAACGCCATCTCCAGCCTCAGCTTTGACCTGTCTCATTTCCCATATTCCTTCACACCCAGCTTCTGGAAGGCATGAGGTAGCTGGGATATAAGGACTTCTGGGGGACCAAGCCATCCTCAAGAAAACAGGGGCATCCAGGGCTCCCTGGATGAATAGAATGCAATTCATTCAGAAGCTCAGAAGCTAAGAATAAGCCTTTGAAATACCTCATTGCATTTCCCTTTGGGCTTCGGCTGAGGGAGATGGATCAAGCTCAGAGACTGGCATTGAGAGCCCAGAAGGACCCGTATAAAATGAATCTGGAGCTTTACATTCTCTGCCTCTACCTTCCTCCCAGCTCAACAAGGAAGTGTTTGGGCACCCTACCCTTTTCCTGGGGTCTAACCAAAAATGGATGGGATGAGGATGAGAGGCTGGAGATAATTGTTTTATGGGATTTGGGTGTGGGACTAGGGTACAATGAAGGCCAAGAGCATCTCAGATATAGAGTTAAAACTCAAACCTCTTATGTGCACTTTAAAAATACACTTTAGGGGCTGGCACAAATCTGATTAGAGACACATATCCATACACAGGGGAAACACACATAGACTCAACAGCAGCCATGCAGTTCCAGAGACACATGAACCTGACACAATCTCTCTCATCCGTGAGGCCACAGCTTGGAGGAGCCTAGTGGCCTCGGGAAAAGTCCCAATCCTGAGGGACCCCCCAGAGATTTCCATGGTGCTCCGGTCCACTGATCTTGGGCCTGGGGTGATCCAAACACCACCCCAGCTCCAGCTGTCTTCTACCACTAGAAGCGCCAAGAGAAGCAGAGGTGGCTGGCACTGGCCAGTCGGAAGGCACGATCAGACCTTGGAGGACTTTGCTGGCCTGCCTGCTAGCCCTGCTCTTGTTGTGGAGAAGGAAGCAGATGCGATTGCATCACCCTGTCATTGGGCACCGCTGACTCCAACATGGAGGACACCAGGGAGTAGGGCCTGGGCCTGTTTCCCCAGCTGTGATCTTGCCCAGAACCTCTCTTGGCTTCATAAACAGCTGTGAACCCTCCCCTGAGGGATTAACAGCAATGATGGGCGGTTGGGGGGTTGGGGGTGGATTGTGTCCTCTAAGGGGACAGGTTCATCTGAGTAAACATAAACCCCAACTTGTGCCATTCTTTATAAAATGATTTTAAAGGCAAGAGGTGTGTGTGTCAGGGGGTAGAGGAGATCCTTAAATTAGATTACCTGCATGCCTGCTCTCCAGTCTCATTCCTGGGTCAAGACTCAGATTTCCAGCTCAGCAATCCATCAGCATTATACAGATCCAACCCACCCTCACCCCACCCATGCAGTTTCTCCCAGGTGGAGCAGTCCCTCAGTGAGGACTGTGAATGAATCCTCAGGAACCCCCACTATAGGAGCCTCAAACTGAGCTCCACAGGAGATGCTGTAGACTGAGAACTTCCCATAAATGATACCCACAGGGAACGTTTAGATTTAGAGGTTGCACAGAATTGCTCCACATCTGGGAGACCAAAAGACAATCCTCTGGAAGGTGTCTGGCCTGAGCTCCCCTGCGGGGAAATCAGGATGTCAGAGAGATCCTCTAGAGCCTGCTGCTCTTGCTATTGCATGACCCCTCCCTGGCACCAGAGCCTCCCTCCTGGATCCCTCCCCTGTCACTCGCCAGCCTGTAGTGGTGCTTGCTGCAGCCCTCCCTGGTTGCTTTATTTATTTATTTTGCACCAACAGGGTTGCTGCAGACTCATTCTTGCCTGGTTTAAAAAGAGAGAGAGAGGAAAAAAAAAAAAAAAAAGGAGAAATGCTTTCTGGCTCTTTTCTCCACCTCAGTCTTGGCAGCAGCGGCCGCAGCAGCAACAGCAGCAGCAGCAGCGGCAGGCAGCAGCCGGGCAGCCAGGCAGCGGGGGTTGAGGCACACAGGGAAGGTGCAGGGGCCTGAGGTGCAGCTCGAATGGGACAGGGCCCCCAGCGCTGGACAGATGCAGTGCCAAACTTGATGCCACCTTCCAGCTTCTCCGGTAAGTGCCCGCACCCTCTGTCCCGAAGATGCAGCTGCCCTTTTCCATAACATTCTCAGAGACAGGCCAGACTAGTGTGCCCCTCAAGGCAAGAGGGTTTGGGCCCCCACCCTGCCAACAATTAATCCTGGCCCCATGGGACTTTGAGGGGGAAATTCAAATATCCCAAGTACCCCTGAGTGGAAGAGCTCCAAGGAGACCTCCCTTCCATCTCCCCAGTGCTCGCCTTCCTCTGGAAGGGTTTTTCTCCACAGCCAGTGTGGATCTTCCAGAAATATTTCCCCCAGGAACCCTCTCCCCACACAGTTCCCAGTCGTCAGTGAGGTGTGCTTTAAAGAGGATACAGGATACCCAGGTTCAAAAGTGTCTCTGGACTGCCACACAAAGAAGAAAGCTCCCTACCCTTGAAGGGGTGATGCCCTCAAGAGTCATGTCTTGGTGATGTCCCCACCCCACTGAAGGGACAAAAAAGTGGTTCTGACATCTCTCTTCCTGCAAAGTGGCCGGAAGCCGGTCCTGCAGCCATGGAGGTTGACAAGGGAAGTTTGTGATTAAATTAGCCACCTTAGAAATAAAATAGGTTGCTCCATCTCCCTCAGCCCCTGGCCCAGCAGGCTTTGGGACTCAGGGGAAACTCACCGGAGCAGGAAGGAAGAAAGCTGGGTTACATGCTTCACTGCACTTTTGCTGAATGCAGAGCAGAGGATGGGCAGGAACTGCAGCAGCAGTGATGAAGAGCTAGCTGTCAGGTGGACTTCCCAGAACAAGCCCAGGGAGAACAAGGGAGGCTGGGCCATCTTTCCCAGGAGAGCTCCGGGCATGCCACAGAGACCCGTTAGGTCAGGATGGGGCGAGAGGAGTCTGCTCTGCAGTCTTTGCCCCACGTTATTCTTTCTCATCCCCAAGCCTCAGACCAGTTTTCTGCATCCTTCTGCTCTTTTGGCCTCTTTCTTTAGTTTTCCAACTAGGACAATCCTCTGAAGTGGCTGTAGGATAACCACTAGAATGATCCTTCCAGGGGGTGGAGAGTGGGAAGGAAAGGGGAAGAAATGACCGTCTCTTAAACTGCCTCTCCTAAGTTCCACATGAGAAAAAATAGGGCATGTAGTAGAAAGCTGACCCTGTAGAGCTCAGAGAGCCTGAAGCCCTCAAGCCCAAAGGTGATCAGGATTGCTGCTCAGGAGAGACTCAGACACCCTGTCTCTGAGAGAGCATCCGTGGGATTTTGCTCCTATCTCTGTAGACATCCCTTGCCAATTCCAGTACTTCCCCTCCCTTGGGGTCCCTGTTGACATCGAACAGGGTGAGTCAGGGGTCCTCACCACCTAGAGGGCCCCTTCTCCTCTGTCACCTCAGCCATTGTAGTCAACATCTTCCTGAGAGTTCCCAGACCCTGGTATCCAGAAACTGACTATAAGTCTAAAGGTTCTGCACGCTGCCTGTGCCCAGATATCTGCTGTGCCAACCGAGGGCTCCCTTCCTCCCCACCCTACAGTGCTCTGTCAGATGCTGTCTCGCCTCACTTATCTATGCTCCCTGGTTCACAATCTGTCTCTTGGGAATTTCTCAGGCAGCTCAGGCCAAAAGGGACCTCAGATCCATACACTGGACCAGAATCCAAACACCATTAAGGAGGGATATGAGGGAAGCCCAAGACTGAAGACCAAGCAACAGAACTCAAAACCTGGGCATCCTTTGGGTCTCTCACACACCCCAGCTTCATCTGTAGTGGAGAAGCAGTTGCCCTTGGGCTCTTGCAGGGGATTCCCAGCTTCCCAGTCAAGTGCCCCCTGCATCCTATGCCACAGCTAATGTACAGCTTGGCCATTATCCACACAGGCATTTTGGGGAGATTGGATCTTGCTAGTCCAGGGCTCAGGCCCTGGGCCAGGCTGGAGAAGGGCTCAGCATGGGGGTGGAGCTGAGGCCTGCATGTTTCCCAGCCTTGGGTGAGCTAGTCAAGGTGAGGACCTCTCCAGTCAGGACAGGGAACTCTGGGCCAAGGACATGATGTCCCTGAGCCTTAGGCAAAGCTATGGGTACATAACATGAAAGAATAAGGGCGAGCAGAGAGGGACAGAGCAGAGCTTGGGGAGAGTAGATATCAGGTAGAAGGGACCTGAGATACTCCTGGATCTCACAGACATCGGGAAACCCCAACTAAGTCAGAAAGACTTAGTTACCTCCCTGCTGTTCCCTGACCCATTCCCATAAGTCTTTCCCCCACAGAAATCAGGCTTGGCTAGGGTTCTATGAGCCAGTAAGCACTTGGCTGGTTATCCAGGGCTGGAAGAGGGAGGAAAGCAGAGATTCCCCAAAGAGAAGCTCCAGGAAGCCCCAGGGAGGTGGCACACAATAATTCTTCCTGGTTCTGTGCCCTACTTGTTGGCAATGCTGAGACAGATAGCTCAATTTCTCTCCCCTCTAAGAAGGGCCAGGAAGTCCAGGGTCACCATCATCTGAAGCCACTTTCCAAAAAGGGTCATGTCATCATCTGTTCCAGGACTGAAGAGGGAATGGATGCGGCCACAGCTCCAAAGCAAGCCTGGCCCCCATGGCCCCCACTCCTTTTCCTCCTCCTCCTACCCGGAGGGAGTGGTGGCAGCTGCCCTGCTGTGTGTGACTGCACCTCCCAGCCCCAGGCTGTGCTCTGTGGCCACAGGCAACTGGAGGCTGTACCTGGAGGACTCCCACTGGACACTGAGCTCCTGGACCTGAGCGGGAATCGCCTGTGGGGACTCCAGCGGGGAATGCTCTCCCGCCTGAGCCTGCTCCAGGAATTGGATCTCAGCTACAACCAGCTCTCCACCCTTGAGCCCGGGGCCTTCCATGGCCTACAAAGCCTACTCACCCTGAGGCTGCAGGGCAATCGGCTCAGAATCATGGGGCCTGGGGTCTTCTCAGGCCTCTCTGCCCTGACCCTGCTGGACCTCCGCCTCAACCAAATTGTCCTCTTCCTAGATGGAGCTTTTGGGGAGCTAGGCAGCCTCCAGAAGCTGGAGGTTGGGGACAACCACCTGGTATTTGTGGCTCCAGGGGCCTTTGCAGGGCTGGCCAAGCTGAGCACCCTCACCCTGGAGCGCTGCAACCTCAGCACAGTGCCTGGCCTAGCCCTCGCCCGTCTCCCAGCACTAGTGGCCCTAAGGCTTCGAGAATTGGATATTGGGAGGCTGCCAGCTGGGGCCCTGCGGGGGCTGGGGCAGCTCAAGGAGCTGGAGATCCACCACTGGCCATCTCTGGAGGCTCTGGACCCTGGGAGCCTCGCTGGGCTTAATCTTAGCAGCCTGGCCATCACCCGCTGCAATCTGAGCTCGGTGCCCTTCCAAGCACTACACCACCTGAGCTTTCTCAGGGTCCTGGATCTGTCTCAGAATCCCATCTCAGCCATCCCAGCCCGAAGGCTCAGCCCCCTGGTGCGGCTCCAGGAGCTACGCCTGTCAGGGGCATGCCTCACCTCCATTGCTGCCCATGCCTTCCATGGCTTGACTGCCTTCCACCTCCTGGATGTGGCAGATAACGCCCTTCAGACACTAGAGGAAACAGCCTTCCCTTCCCCAGACAAACTGGTCACCCTGAGGCTATCTGGCAACCCCCTAACCTGTGACTGCCGCCTCCTTTGGCTGCTCCGGCTCCGCCGCCGCCTGGACTTTGGCACTTCCCCCCCTGCCTGTGCTGGCCCCCAGCATGTTCAGGGGAAGAGCCTGAGGGAGTTTTCAGACATACTGCCTCCAGGGCACTTCACCTGCAAACCAGCCCTGATCCGAAAGTCAGGGCCTCGATGGGTCATTGCAGAGGAGGGCGGGCATGCAGTTTTCTCCTGCTCTGGAGATGGAGACCCAGCCCCCACCGTCTCCTGGATGAGGCCTCATGGGGCTTGGCTGGGCAGGGCTGGGAGAGTAAGGGTCCTAGAGGATGGGACACTGGAGATCCGCTCAGTGCAGCTACGGGACAGAGGGGCCTATGTCTGTGTGGTCAGCAATGTTGCTGGGAATGACTCCCTGAGCACCTGGCTGGAAGTCATCCAGGTGGAACCACCAAACGGCACACTTTCTGACCCCAACATCACCGTGCCAGGGATCCCAGGGCCTTTTTTTCTGGATAGCAGAGGTGTGGCCATGGTGCTGGCAGTCGGCTTCCTCCCCTTTCTCACCTCAGTGACCCTCTGCTTTGGCCTGATTGCCCTTTGGAGCAAGGGCAAAGGTCGGGTCAAACATCACATGACCTTTGACTTTGTGGCACCTCGGCCCTCTGGGGATAGAAACTCTGGGGGTAACCGGGTCACTGCCAAGCTCTTCTGACCTTTCCTTCCCCAGTGGGGAACCCACCAAGTCCGCTTCAGATACCAAAGGGGAAGACAGAACCAAGGCTGCTTGAACCAGAACCTGGTCCTGAGCAGCACCGCTCTCCCACACCTCCCGTCTGCGTTGTGCCAGCAACTAGCGATGCCTCCTGCCAGAGAGTCTGCCTCCTGAGCTTTTCCAGTCTGACGATAGCAGTGTCATTTCTTCTCTGAGGGTCCCAGGGAGCTGCAGATACAGACCCTGTCGTTAGTCCAGCCCTCCCTTCGTCCCCTGCACACACAAAACAGGAAACATAAAGCTCTAGTCAGCTAGTTTAACCACTAGGCTTTCTTCACACACGCCTATATCCTTTAATAACCAATTGCCAACCACAGCTATAAGATTATTTCAGAGGTGGGGCTGGGAAGTGCCACTTGCTCCTTGGAGTCTCTGTTTGTCAACCTGGCAGAGTCCCTTTCTTTTCTGCTCCCCACCCCAACCCTGTCCCTAGGTACAGGATTAAGAGCAAAGGACCCTCAAGCCACAGAGAAGAGGATGGGGACAGAGTGTGGGATGGGGAGGACAGACCACACACTGCACTGTGTTTGCATGAGCCTCTACCACCTTCCTCTGTCTGCCAGATCATTAAACCTGCTGTCAAAGGGCCACAACAGTAGCAGCCAAAGCTAAATGTCATATCTGGAGTTTTCTTTATTTCAGTCTATTTCCTACCCTCATTTCTGTTATATCTCCCCACTCCTTCTCTTTCTGCTTGCGCATTGATCATGTGTCCCAATGGCTTTGCCTCCATCTAACCTGCCTGACAAACAGGGTAAGGAGCGCCCCTCCCACCTCCACTCTCCTCACCCCCCTACACCCCCACCCCCATGCCTGGAGGGATCAGCACTCCTAGCCCTGGTTTCAGCCTCAATCCTTTCCTTTTCACTCCCCATCTCTGGAACTGGAGAAGGAGCGATCCTCCACCTTCCAGGGGTTCCCTACATAGAAATTCCACCTGAGACACCCAGCTGCTGCCCCTCTTTCCCATTTCTCCATGGCAGTTCCCATCATTTTTGTGTCACAGATCCCTAGTGCCCTTGGGGAAAAGTCAGAACTCCAAGATAATGACTAACAAACGCAAGAATCCACAGTTGTCAAAGGAGAGAGACCCAGGACACTGCAGAGACTAGGCTTGGAGGAACAGGGAGGAGGGCACAGCAGGCCGTAGTGAGAAGTGGAAGGAAGGGGGAGCAGCAGTAACTGCCTGCCTAGTTAATTTCCACCATCCTTCTGCAGCTTCCTCTGGTTCTGTGATTAGTGCAGCCCCAGTGGGAAGCTGTCTCCGGGTAGAGGTCACTGATTTACAGAGACCCCCAGATGGGGAGGTGGAGTGGGAGGTGAAACTGCTGAGTACCACTGACTGTGCTTCAAATAGAGGGCAAAGCAGAGCCCAAAAAGAAGTAGAGATGCTGGAAGCTCAAGGTACAGAGCAACAGCCTCAGCATGACTGGAAGGGAGGAGTGACAGGGAGAGGAGAGGAGTGGGAGGAGGGACTGAGAAGGGAAGAATCACGTGGCCCCAGGGAGCCTTTCTCCGCGGCAGCATCTGCCCAGCGTCCTTAGTTTCCTCCCACCCACCACTACACCAAACCAGATGCAAGCATTGTGAGCTTTCTAGTTGATTCCTGCTGCTGTTGTCCTTGCTCTGAGGAGACTCCACTCATTAGAAGATTCCCAGCTCAAACTGCCTGACAGGTGAGACACTCAGCACCACTGAGGAGGTGAAGCTGGACTTCACAGGCAGGCCGCTCTTTAGTGGGGCAGAGATAGGAATATGGGGGTAGGACCAGAGGTGAATGTGAGAACCAGGCAGACAGGAGAGTGAGGCTGGAGAAACTGACCTGCTTGAGAAATGAGTTTCCCTGAGCCTGCAACCTCCCACCCACCATGCACACACAACTCAATTAGCATCCCAGCAACTTCCCCTTCTTTAGTGTATAATGTACCAGATAGATAGATTTCCTGGGGCACAGCCCTCCCCCTCCTTTCCATAACCTTCCACCAGCAGCTTATTAGGTTGGGACTTGGGAGTCAGACGCTGAAGGTTCTCACTCTAGTTGCCCTCTCTGCAATGCGGAAGCAGCAACGCTGTTCAGAGAAATCTTCTCTGGGAAGCCCCTGACGCAGTGGGGAACAGATGACTGTCTGGCGCTGGGACATGCTGCTGCCCAAAGTCTCTGAAGTCTCAAAGACTCCAGAACAGAGCTACCCAACAGACGTAGAATCTAAGTCACATATGTAATTTCAAATTTTCTAGTAGCTCCTACATTAAAAAATCAAAATGAAACAGATACATTTAATTTTAATACTTATTTTATTTAACACAATATACCCAAACTATTATCATTTCAATATATTATCAATACAAAAATCAATCATAAAATATTTAACATTTTTTCATATTAGGTCTTTAAAATCCATGTATTTTTTACACTTATAGTACATCTCAACATTGCAATTCAGTTACTAAATTTTCACCAGAAAAATCCATATTTAGATTTCATACAGGTCACTGTTGAGAAAGTAGATTCACACATCTAAGTTTTTCCAAACATAAAACATTTTCTGATAACTGAATCAAATATGTTTTAAATTTTTAATTAAAATTAAATAAATTTAAAATTCCATTCCTCAGCTGTACCACCTACCTTTACAAGCATTCAATAGCCACATGTGGCCAATGGCTACCATATTGGACAGCAAAGCTTCAGACATCACGACCTGGGGCATAGACTAAGGTATCCTTGGCAGTGGTGGGTGGACAAAGTATCCCTCAAGAAACACATTTAATCTCAAGGAAATGCCTATGGAGTTAGTCCCACCACAGCCCCTTTGTCTCCTTTCACAGCTTTTCCAGAATACTTTTGAGGGGTGAAGCACATTCATGTAACAAGCTTACTATGATGAGTACTTCCACAGCTTGTCCAAGCGTTAGCATGCCAGTCCCTCATCTTACCTGTTGGGAAGACTGCCCTCAGCTCAGCTGTGACAGCACAGGCTGCTGTGTGTGTGCTGATGAGTGTGCAAATGCAGCCAAGGACACGAGTGGGTGTTGTGTGCAGAAGTTTTGTGGACCATGTGCAGGGATGTATGGTGCCACACCATGGGGACAATCTAATGGAGGTTCTGCCCAGGGCGGGACAGCAGTTCAAAGAGAAGAACTGCATTTATTGAGGGCCTATTCTATGTCCGTGGCTTTATAGATATTTTCTTATTTAATCCTTACGTCAACCCTATAAAGTAGGGAGGCATCTTAGCTGATGAAACTAAAGGTCAAATAGAGTAAAGTGCGCAAAGCTAGTTAGTAAATAGTACCTAGCTATTTGAGCTCACGGCTGTCTGACTGAAAACTCCCCCTTTCCACCACACTGCCATCCTCACTGCCACGCCCTCACAGCTCTCTCTCCCAGGGCCTTTCAGTTGCAGGACATGACCTGTAAGAAAGGGGAAATTTTCCAACCCATCCACTCTGAACTTTCAGGGGGGACTGGGCTCAGTTATTGGTCCTCACCTTCTTCATTAACTCAAATGCACCTGATTCAGGAGGTTGGGGTTTTTCTTTGTTTTCACTCTTTCCTCTCTCCGAATGTCCCTACAGCCTCTGCCTCAGGGACTGGTAGAAAGGAGCAGAAATTCCAGTGAGCAAATGGACTGCAGTGAAATGCCTGGCTTCCAGCAAAGGATTCTCTGAAATGGAGGCTTCAGATTTCCTAGTTCTTTTCTGGGTTCTAACCTCAACAACCTCCGAGGTTAGAGAGAGGTTGCACAGATTGGTGGAACAATCTGTGAGCTATTTCAGATTGGAGAAGAATTTGACTCTGCCTACTTTCCGCCCATCCCTGCTTGACAGAACCTTTCTGAGGGTATTCCATCCTGCCCTCCTTCCACCCCTCTCTCTTCCATCTCAGACATGGTCTCACCTAAGCTGAGCGAGAACTCTGGACCCAAAGATCCTGTGGCACCATCTCAGCACTCCACATTTCGGTCCCCGATACAATCTTTCTCTATTTCCGATTTCTATTTCCTGTGCTGTGCTGGATCCCTGATTCAGGAGATGAGAGCCCAGCTAAGCAATGATCCTCAACTTTTTTGAGTCACAGACCCCTCTGAGAATTCCTGATGTAAGCTATGAACAAAAATGTTTGTAAATTGTCCAGTTATTCTGAAGCTATCACAGACTCCACAGAATATAGGTTAAGAAATTCTGCTATAAGAAGCCACAGGTTGCAGGGGAAACTGAGGCCTCAGGCCACCTTTGCTCCCCAGGGTCCATTAGAGGCAAAGAGAAAAGGCTGAGAAGGACTACAGTTCAAAGTGGATGTTAGCACAGGTAAGAGCAGGTATTAGAATGAGCCCAGCAAGAAAACACACAAAAATGCTCCAGCATTCTCTCCACCCCTGTCCCCTTCTCCCACCAGCACCCATCTGAGGGAGACTTTGGGTGGAACTCTTGCTGTAAGAAGTCAGTACGGTGGTGACTCAGGCTGGAGAGCATCTGAACCCAGGGACTCCTGGGTCCTGTTCCTCCAAATTGCTTCATAAGGGGAATTAAGTAGGAAGATACAGCTGGGTAGTGGTGGTCAGAGAGGCTGAGGAGAATTCTCTCCTAGGGCATCTGCCACAATTCAATCCGGTCTAAAGACGGAATAGCAGCACCAGCATAAGTGAGGACACTGAGGCTCATGCTCCCAGTCACTGTGGTTAAGAGGCTTAAGTGGGGAGGAGGGGGGTGACTCCTAGGCTGGGCAACAGGAGAGATGAGTGCTGTTTTTCAGACTCAAATAGCTGAATGGCACTTGAATGGATCATTTGTATGTTGTACAGGGAGGGAACTCTGTGGGCAGCCAAGGCTCTGGAGCCAGGCTCCTTGTATTTCAGAGCCCCCCTCACTGCCCAGATCCCTAGCTAAGATCTACTTTCCTGCTTCAATTTATTAAAAGGAACACCTGCTCACTGAACCCTCTGGGCAACCCAGACCTTATCTTAACTCACTCCACCTAATGCCTCCCACAGCCTGTTCAGAACACCCTTCAGGGAGAGAATAGACTCTTAGGACTGGAGATGAGAATAAAGAAATTACAGTTCACTCAATCCCAGCATCTCACAATTCAATCTTTCAATCCTGATTTGGGATCTGAGAGGATAAATGAGATGACAAATCCCAAATGTACAGTGACTTGAGGGTGAGTTTGGCATCAGCTCACTCAAAGTTATTTCTTCTGCTCCCCAACCTCCCTACCCAGCAAGTTAGAATTCAATCTTATTTTTAAATAAGATAAAATAAATCTTATTTAAAAATAAGATCACGGTGGCTCACACCTGTAATCCCAGCACTTTGGGATGCTGAGGCAGGTGGATCACCTGAGGTCAGGAGTTCAAAATCAGCCTGGGCAACATGGTGAGACCCCATCTCTACTAAAAATACAAAAATTAGCCAGGTGTGGTGGTGTGCACCTATAATCCCAGCTACTGGGGAGGCTGAGACAGGAAGATCACTTGAACCTGCGAGGCAGAGGTTGCAGTGAGCCGAGATCGTGCCACTGCACTCCAGCCTGGATGATAGAGTGAGACTCCATCTCAAAAAAAAAAAAAAATTCCAGAAAAAAGTGATGCCACCTGGTTTTTCACTGCTCTGATTAAGAAATTCCTCCTTTGAGGCTGAGCACACTGGCTCACTCCTGTAATCCCAGCACTTTGGGAGGCTAAGGCAGGCAGATGCCTTAAGCCCGGGAGCTGGAGACCAGCCTGGGCAACATGGTGAAACCCCATCTCTACTAAGACATAAGTTAGCCAGGCGTGGTGGTGCATGTCTGTAGTCTCAGCTACTTGGGAGGCTGAGGCGGGAGGATTGCTTGAGCCTGGGAGGTGGAGGTCGCATGAGTAGAGACCATGCCATTGCCTCAAGCCTGGGCAACAGAGCAAGACTCTGTCTTTAAAAAGAAATAAATTCCTCTTGTGGTTTATCTATAAACTGTAACCCCCTTTTCAGACTTCATTTCCTCTTTTTTGCCCATCCCACCTTCACTGGAGCTAGAAGAAGATGGACCCATAAAGTAGGCCTGTATTTTTATATAAACACTGGACACATTCTTCCTTGGATTTGAACTACCATTTTGTCCTTTTTAAAGTAAAAATAGCTATGGCAATCAAGGCACTCAAATACCTAGGAATAATTTTAACAAGAAGTATGTAAATTCTACATAATGAAAACTAAAATTCTACTGATGGGGCGCCAATGACTTAAATGTATAGGAAGACTCTATATCATACATTCTCCTTTATATAATCTAAAAATATGTGATTCCAGTCAAAATAACAATAACAATAGAAAAGTAAATTATGGTTCAATATAGCCCCACAATATTATACTACACAGTAGTCAGAATGAAGGGACTAAAACTATACACAGTATGACTGAATCTCACATAAATAATTTGAATAAAGGAAGCCAGACACAAAAGAATACACACTCTGATTCTCTTTACATAAAAAGCAAGAACAGGCAAAATTAGTTTATGATATCAGGAGTCAGAAGAGTGGTTGTCCTTGAGAAGAGCAGTGACTGCGAGGGAACACACAAGTGGCTTCTGGGGCACTAGTAATGTTCTGTTTCTTGATCTGCTGCTGTTTACACAAATGTATTCCATTTGTGAAAATTCATCAAGATATATACTTGTCATTTGTGCATTTTTCTGCATGTATATTGTAAATTAATTTTTTAAATTGTGGTAAAAAAACATAATGTACACAATTTAAAAAATTTTTAAATGATCAATGGAACAAAATGAAAAAAATCCAGAAACAGACCCAAATACATATGGCAATGTGGTATTATAAAGGTAGCATTCAAAAACAATGGAGAAAACATGGGTTATTCAATAAGAAGGATTTGGAAAAAACAGAACAAAGTTGGATCTCTATCTCACACCTTTACACCAAAATAAATTCCAGGTGAATCAAATATTTACATATACAAAGACACTATCAAAGTACTTTTCAAAAAACATAGGACCTTTAAGAATAATCTTAAGTAGTGGGAGACTTTTCTAAAAATTATATGAAACACAGAAGTTGGCCAGGCACAGTGGCTCACGCCTGTAATCCCAACACTTTGGGAGGCCAAGGCGGGTGGATCACTTGAGGCCAGGAGTTTGAGACCAGTCTGGCCAACATAGCAAAACTCTGAGTCTGCTAGAAATATAAAAATTACCCAGGTGTGGTGGTACACGCCTGTAATCCCAGCTACTCAGGAGGCTGAAGCACAAGAATCTCTTGAACCTGGGAAGCAGAGGTTACAGTGGGCTGAGATCACGCCACTGTACCCTGGCCTGGGTAACAGAATGAGACTCTGTCTCAAAAAAAGAAAGAAACAAACCCAGAAATTATCAAATAAAATACTGATAAATTCAATTACATAAAAATTTTTAAATTTTGCAAAGAATAATCATAAACAGGCTAAGGGCAGGGGCTCAGGCCTCTAATCCTAGCACTTTGGGAGGCCGAGGCAGGCTGATCACCTGAGGTCGGGAGTTGGAAACCAGTCTCAAAATATACAATATACATAGAACAAACTGGGAAAACGGAAAATACTTGTTATATGTATAAACAATATACATAGAACAAACTGGGAAAAGGGACTTTTTTTTTTTTTTGAGAGGGAGTCTCGCTCTGTCACCCAGCTTGGAGTGCAGTGGCAATCTCGGCTCACTGCAACCGCCACCTCCCCAGTTCAAGCGATTTTCCTGCCTCAGCCTCCCAAGTAGCTGGGATTGCAGGCGCTTGCCACCACAACAGGCTAAGTTTTGTGTTTTTAGTAAAGACCTGGTTTCACCATGTTGGCCAGGCTGTTCTCGAACTCCTGACCTCAAGTGATCAGCCTGCCTCAGCCTCCCAAAGTGCTGGGATTACAGGCGTGTGCCACCGCACCTGGCCGGCAAAATACTTTTAACTTACATACAAACAGCAAGTATTAAGAAATGACCCTATAACCAATAAAAATATGAACAGAATAGAAAAACAGAATTTACAAAAAAATTGCCATGTAACTATATTAAAAGATGCTCAACTTTACTTATAAGAGCAATGAAATTTTATCTTGCAATGAGATAGCATTTACATGATCAGATTGTCAAAAATCAAGAAGTTTAACAGCACCAGTGTGCTATCAAACAGGTTCTTTTCATACATTGCTGATGGGAGACAAAATTGGTAAAATTTCCAGGGAAGGCAATTTGGTAATACTAACTAAAATCATTTTCAAAAATTGCTGGTGGGATGAAAATTATAAAAATCTTTGTGGGAGGAAGGGAATTTGCAAAATTTTATCTATCCAAATGAAAAAACAATGCACACACTTCTTTAACTTGGCACTTGCATTTCTAAGTATTTATCATACAGATATGCAAGAAGGAAATGAAGTATCCTTGCATATCAATAAAATGTTAAAGGACTGGTTAAATATATCTTCATATGTCCCTCAGGCACACTCCGAAACTATCACTATGAGGCAGATACGTATATGCTGCTACGGAAAGATTTCCAGACTGTATCAAAGAAAGTTGCAAAATAGTACGTATGTTATCAACTGGGTTAAACAAAATATATGTGTGTATATATATACACTGTATATATTACACATATACACACATTAACTATAGAATATCTTGTGAAAATTTTCACAAGAGACTGGTAACCCTGGTTGCCTTGAAGGAAAGAAGATTTATTCACTATAATAACCTTGTTTTTTCTGAATTTTGTGGAATGTAAATGCATTACTTATTCAAAACGCATACACATTTTTATATTAATAGAAAGCAAAACCTGAAGCCCAAAGGCATCTCCCTAATTGACAAAAGATACAACCTTGCGTTCTTTCAGCAAACGTTAATTGCTCATCACCTGCCAGGTATTGTGATGGAAGCTAGTGCGGAAGATCCCCCAATGACCAGGAGCACCCGACACCTGTCCCCAGGGTGAGCCCCTAGCGCGGGGCGGGGACAGGGTGGACCGCGTAGGGCGCAGGGTTGGGCTCGCGAGTCTCCCCGCCGCGCGGAGGCGGTAGCAGGACCCAACCGTTCCTAACGGTCCAGGGACCAGGACAGCGTCTGGAATAAAATCTTCCAAAGCAAACTTCCGCCTGCAGAGACCCGCTCCCTTCCTCGCCCCCACAGAAACGCCCCCCCGCCACCCCGCGGCGTAGGCCTTCACGCTGTCGCCTCGACTCGTTTCCTCGAATCCCCAGGGAAGGGTGGGCCCCTGGCGCCCCTACGGTCCCCTGCCCCCTTACCACTGCGGTCGGAGCTCGGGTCTCACTCTCCTGCCGCTGTTTCGGGCCACACCTTGTGTCCGTGCCTCCGCAGAGGAATAGAAGAGTGGGTCCTCGCTCTCTGCGGCGCACCGCTTGTCCCTTCACCTCCTCTCCATCTACAAAGCCTATTTCATGTTTTCCAAAAAGAAAACGTTTTCTGTGTCTCTTGAGTACTCGTCGCCATACGCGGAGCCAGACTGATCTACGCAAAAGATCGCAAGAGAAACAACTAATAGAGCATCGCCCATCATGAGGCTGCTCTCCCGATGGTCACTGAGTTGTGTTGTGGCACTGTCTTTGTACCAAGACACCAATTTTGTGCGAACGGTGACACGCATGATTCAACGCTCTCACGCCTAGGTCCCAGCAGCAGGAGCGCCGATTTTCCCCCGAGGGTTAGAAGATAGAAAACTCTTCGGTAATTGGCCTAGAGGTGGTCTGCGAGGTCTCCGGGAAGCTTGTAATTGGTTGTTTAATTCTCAGCAGGTGCGGTCTCAATTAACAACATCTGCTTTTTCCTGGATCTTATTGGCTGACAGGGTGGGCCTGCTTTGGATTCCATCCGGGTAATTGGGCAGTGGCTAGCAGCAGCCACGTCGCTCAGGGGCAGCCCGCGGAAGGATTGGTTGTTACGGGAGAAGGCGATTGGTCGGACTGCGAGCAGGGTGTTGACTGGTGCTAGCGGGCTGCGGGGGCGGGCAAGTGGCGGCTGAAGCGCCGCAGGCGGGCCTCCCAGTCGCCGTGTGAGTGGGAGGCGGCGGCGGCTGTGGCTGCAGCTGGGGTGAGGCGCGAGGCGGCGCGCTCGACGGCTGACTGGAGCAGCGGTAAAGGCGGGGATGGAGAGCGAAGGTTTGGGGAGTGGGAAAGACTGGGTCATGGGCAGCCCTGGCCACTAGGAGACGGAAATGCGGGATCGAGGGAAGGGAGGGGTATGGCGTGCTCCGGGGCGAGGGAAGGATGTGGGGCGCAGGGGCGGGAGTCAGAGCCCTGGGCTGTGAGACGCCGCTCGGGGGCAACTTGACCCACTGGGAACTCGTAACTATATCTGAGGAAAATGCTCCAGTCACATGCTTACGCCACAGCGGACCCGGTGCAGGAGCGTTTGTGTTTGCCCTGAGTCAGTTCACACTCGTCCACTGGGCCTTTTTGAGACGGAGAGCTGCCATCCATGTATCACTTTGCCTTTAACTTTCCCCAGCTTTTTCTTTAGTTATCGCTAATAGGATGGCTGTTGACAGTTGTCAGAATAATACTTTGGGGTTTTTGTTTTTCCAGTATCCCTCCTTATTCTTTAATGCAGGTATCATCGTGGGGGTTGGCTGGAGACCCCCATTAGAAAGACTGACTTTTGGACCCTTTCCTTGTTTTGAGAGAAAGGAGTTGACGCTTTTTTTTTTCTACTGAGTTTAAAATAAAACGTACCAAGGATGAGAACATTGGGCTGCTTCGATTCAAGCATGTCACCATGTTGTAGGTCCTTGGTAGGTTCTGGTTATTAGGAGATACTGGAATGAGTTATCTATGCTTTCATGAAGCTTAACAATGTGATTTGACTCCTGATCACATCCTATTTGACTCCTGTCATTTTAAATGATAAAGTAAGCCTTAGCAATGCATATCAGATAGTTGTTGGCAATTGTTCAATACAAATGTCAGGAAATTTCAAAGTTAGCTTTTACTGAAAACCGTTATCTAACCACATACCTCACTCAGCAATGATCCTCATCTCCTCTTCTTAGCTTCCCCTAGGAACTGTGGTCTTAAGTTCTAGTCTTTTCCTCCTTCCCATTCAATTTTTAAGTAATAAAATCAAACACAAACTAGCAGTCAGTACTACGCAGTTATCCCCGTTTACATTATATTATTTTCCATTTCTCTTTAAGAGAAACCTACAACTGAAAGGATATGAAAATTGTGAACAAAACCATAGTGACAGATCAAGTAAATTCTCATTTTTGAGACATCAGCTGATAACTAGCACAAATTGATTTGTAATGTCTGAAGAGGAGTTAGTGAAATTTACCTTTTGCTTCAAATAGAAGTCAGCCAAAAAAAGCCACGTCTATAATCTCAGCTACGCCCGATGATTGTGGGAGTTCAAGGCTGCAGTGAGCTATGATCATTCACTGCATTCCAACCTGGGTGACAGACCAAGGCTCTGTCTCTATCCAAACAACAACAAACTCTCCAATTCGTCTACTTTCCAACTCCATCATTGACACCTGGACTAGTCCCTGATTGGTCTCCTGAAGCTACCGTTGCTGCCTTCAATTCATTCTCCTCACCACGGACACAGATGTTAATCAAGAATGACAAGCATGGCATGTGTGAATGAAGGCGTATTGGGGATCCTGTGGAAGCGCATAGCAATGTAACTCAACCCAGTGTAGGGGATCGAGATTGAGGGGCCTTGGCTGCAGAGGCCCCTCGGCACTTGATAGTGTCAGAACTGGAAAACAAAAGTTCTGCTAATCCTTTGGGCCTCTGTAAAGAGGTGTGATTATGACTGGCCATCAAAACAGACTTATTTCCCTTGCACACTGTATTGTGTAGAAATGACTAATTAGTGGTGTGACCTTAGATCAATACTTTTCTATCCCTGAGCCTCAGTTTCCCAAATTGAACATTATTAATGGAATCAAATAAGTTCTGTAGTCCCTTCTAGTTATAAAATCTTTTGATTTCTATGCCCCATAAGCATGAATTATGGCCAAAAAGGTGTTTTTAGAAGCAAACAGCATGAAAATACAGATCAAGTTCATTCTTGTTCATAGGGCTAGATTTCAGTTTCCCAAAGCCTTTAAGACCTAAAGACTCCTGCCCGTCAGGATCTTCCATGCCAGACAAGAAACTCCATGAAGGCAGCTGCCAAGTCTATCTTGACTGTTGTGTCCCCAGTGCGAAGCACACATCAGAACTCGATACTTATTGGCTTGAATAAATGTCCATTTACTGCAGTTCATTCATGTAGTATTGGTTTGCAGAAGGAAAATGAGTTGTATTGTAATGAGATGATTTTCAGCTATGCACCATCTAAGAAATAAACCTTAAGGTTCTAGCTCCTTTCAGCTGTCACATTGACCAAGAATTTATACAGTCGTCTCTCCCTTCATTATCTGCGGGGGATTGGTTCCAGGAACCCCACAGAACCCAAATCCATAGATTCTCATGTCCCTTGTATAAGATGCATAGTATTTGCATATAACATACACACATCTTGCCCTATACTTTTTTTTTTTTAACCCCTTCAGGCAAATTCTCACTCTGTTGCCCAGGGTGGAGTGCAGTGGTGTGATCAGTTTACTGCAGCATCCACCTCCCGGGCTCAAGCCATCCTCCCACCTTGGCCTCCTGAGTAGCTGGGACTACAGGTGTGCACCACCACGCCCAGCTAGTCCTTTGGGCCTCTGTTAATTTTTTTTTTTTGTAGAAACAGAGTCTCACTGTGTTGCCCAGGCTAGTCTTGAATACTCGATCTCAAGCAGTCCTCCCACCTCAGCCTCTCAAAGTGCTGGGATTAACAGGCAAAAGCCACTGTACCCAGCCTGTTTTGGCGTTTGTTTTCTAGACTATGAAGGTTTCCAAGTAGAAATTCTTCTTCCTCCTTCTGTCCCCAACATGCTCAGCACATAAGAAGGAGGTAGCACTATTTAACCAAGACGCATTAATAATGGAGACAAGCTAGGAACTTGAGTGGTCATATAAGAAAATATCTAAGTGGGCACGGTGGCTCACGCCTTGTAATCCGTCCCAGCACTTTGGGAGACCGAGGCGGGGGGATCACAAAGTCAGCAGTTTGAGACCATCCTGGCCAGTATGGTGAAACCCTGTTTCTACTAAAAATACAAAAATTAGGCAGGCATGGTCGCGGGTGCCTTTAGTCCCAGCTACTCATTAGGCTGAAGCAGAAGAATCCCTTGAACCCGGGAGGTGGAGGTTGCAGTTAGCTGAAATCGTGCCACTGCACTCCAGCCTGGGCAACAGAGCAAGACTCTGTCTCAAAAAAAAAAAGAAAATATCTGAAGTAATCAGAGGACAAAAGAAGTCAAATCCTTTCTGGAATAAATCAAGAATAAACCATCTCAATGTAGGAAAGTAGCAGTTTGGGAAGTATGTATTCAAGAATTACTTAAGCCAAAAATCTCCTTTATGAAACAATTTGTTTCCTTTGGTATATACAAAGATGCTTATATAATACCATCCAAATTTTCAGGGTGGTGAAGGGTTTTATTTGCAGCCTATTTAAAAAAAGAGAAGCTAATGTTTATCCAATGAGTTGGAGAAAGAACCTCATAAATGAAAGCAAACAGCCTACATTAAACTCAACCCTTTCTGTCCTACATTCTAGAAAGGTCAGGAGAGAACAGTATTCCCTCAGATTGATAGTCTCTAAAAATGATATACTGAATTTACTGAGTAATGACCCAAAGTAGACAACGCACTTGAAAAGAGGTACCCATCCCCCACCCCAGTAGTAAAAGGCGGTTTTATTTTTTGCTCAGGCTGCGAGTCCGGGCAAGAAGGTGGATTAAATTTGTTTAAAACCAGAATATAGAAAAAATAGATTTGGCAAACTTCTGGTAGTTCTCTGAAGAACTTTATTCAGTTCTATTGATCAGTAAAACTCTGAGGCCAGATGCAAATTCTGGTCATCTGTATGACAGTGTAGTAGTCTCCCCTTCTCCGTGGTTTTGCTTTCACTTACCCATAGTCAATCCTGGTCCAAAAAGATTAAATGGGAAGTCCCATAAATAAACAATTCTTTTTTTTTTTTTTTTTTTAGTAGAGACGGGGTTTCACCGTGTTAGCCAGGATGGTCTCGATCTCCTGACCTCGTGATCCGCCCGTCTCGGCCTCCCAAAGTGCTGGGATTACAGGCTTGAGCCACCGCGCCTGGCATAAACAATTCTTAAGTTTTAAATTGTGCACCATTCTGGCTAGCATGGTGAAATCTCCATCCTGATCCAGATGAGAATCCTGCCTTTGTCCAGCGTATCCATGCTGTATATGCTGCCCGCCTCTTAGTCACTTAGTAGCCATCTTGGTTATCACATTGAAAAAACCTGTAGTTTTCAGTACTCCAAGGCATCCACTGGGGTTCTTGGAACATATTTCTCGAGGATAAGAAAGGATGACTGTTGTAAGAAACCTACCTCCAGCCTCCCTTACCTGACTCTATCTGCTCCTCAGTGAGATTTCGGTGCTAGATGTTCTCCTTTCTCTCTTCACTCTTCCTGATCGGCTGTGCTTTCTCTGAAAGCCTAAGTTTTATTCCACAGTAGGTTTTGTATTAGTGAGTATGTTTTTAGCCTTACCAGGATAAAGCCAGATTTTCCCCCTAAGGTGAAATACATTTTTGTTTATTATAATTATTTGGGTTGAATTTTTGTACCTGGAGGCAAATTATAGCAAAGTTACATTTACTCATTTTTAAGCAAATCTCATTTAAAGCCAGCTTGCTTTATTCTACTTGATCGTAATATCTAGAAATACAGATATTTAGTTTTCAGTTTTTTATTACCTATCTTTAGTTTTTTTAGTCTTCAGTGTTTTTTTAACCACCTACAATACTTTCTGTCAGTATTAATTTTGAATTGGATGTGTTAATCAAAATAAAGAATAAAAATGCAGGTGCTGTTACCCTGAGAGTTTAGGTAAAAAGAAGGGTGGGGAAGGATTTCTAAAATCACTTTACAAGGTTTTTTACACGCAAATAATAACCCAGACTCTGGGTTAGAGATTAGATAACCTCTTCAAGCGTGTGTACTCTTCTATAGGATTAATATTTCCTACTTTACAGGGTTATATGACTATTAAATAAAATTATGTAATGTGCCTGGCATAGTAGCTACTCAACACATTTATCTTTTCATTTTTGTGTCTTTAGTGCCACAATAGCATCTAGCACATAGTACTTACTCCAGCTCTTGTGCTGAGAATAAACTGAATGGACAATGGCAAATGCAGGAACGTCATTAGGCAATGCAGTAATCTAGGGAAAAGATGGTATTTTAGAGCAGGGTCATAGAACTGCAAAGAGAAAAAGTGGTCAGATTCTGGATAATTTGAAGGTAGAGCAAATAAGATTTGTTGACAGGCTAAGTGTGCAGTGTGAGAGAGAGGATGACGAAGTAAGAGAATGCAGTCAAGGCGGAGCACAGTGGCTCACCCCTGTAATCTCAGCACTTTGGAAGGCTGAGGTTGGTGGATCACGTGAGCCCAGGAGTTCAAGACCAGCCTGGGCAACATGGTGAAACACTCTCTCTACAACAAATACAAAAATTAGCCAGGCGTGGTGGCATGCACCTGTAGTCTTAGCTACTGGGAGGCTGAGAGGTGGGAGGATTGCTTGAGCCCAGAGGTTGTGGCTGCAGTGAGCCATAGTTGCACCACTGCATTCCAGCCTGGCAACAGAGAAAGACCCTGTCTCAAAAGAAAAAAAAAGGAATTGCCATTTGCTGAGATGGCAAAGATTATGGCAAGGGGGTGAATCGGGAGCTCAGTGTTAAGTTGAGATGTATATTAAACATCAAATGGAGATCCATGTAGGCAGTTGAGAAGGGTCCTACAAGGATCTATTAATTTGGAAGTTATCAGCATATAGATAGGAGTTAACGCCAGTCTGTGAATGAGACTTGAGATCACCAAGGAAATGAGGTAGAACAGAGAAGAGGGCAAAGGACAGATCCCCGAGGCACTCCAGTGTTTAGAGGATAGAAAAATGCGAAGAAATCAGCAACTGGGAGACTGATGGAATAGCCAGAAAGGAAAGAGGAAAACCAGGAGGGTGTGCTATGGAGAAAGTGTTTCAGAGAAGAGGGAATCACCAGCTGTGCCAAATACTGTGGGGACATCTGGTGAGATGAGAACTGAGAATCAGTCTTTGGATTGAGCAATGTGAAATCATTGGTGACCCTGATGTGAGCAGTTAGAGTGGATTTAAGAAGAGAACTTGAGGACAGATATATTGACACTCAAGTTTTCCTTTAAAAGGAAGAAAAGAAATGGGAAGTAGTTGAAGTGAAATCCAGGGTTTTCTTTAAGAACGGAGAATGTTTGTCTGCTGATGGGACTGTCTAGTAGAGGGGAAAGAAAATGTTAATAATGCAGGAGAAGCAAGGAGAACTTGTGGAGCAGTGCTTTTATGAAAGACTTCAGTGCTAGGAGCAGAGACAGTTCATCTGTGGTCACAGGAGAGAACAGCAAGCATTTAGGCACAGGTGGAGGTAGGTGGGAAAATGTGTAGAAGCTTGTGGATATTTTCTCTGAATGCTCTACTTTCTCAGTGAAATAGAAAGCAAGGACCTCAGTTGAGAAAGGTTGGAGGAGGCAGCATGAGAGGTTTGAGTGGAGAGGGAGGCTGAGAAACTATGTGGAATAAGGAAATATAATGAGGAACACATTAAAGTTTGCTTGGCAGCAAAATGAAGATACAGTGTCAGAGAGAAACTCAGCACGAAAGCCTGTAAGAAGGCCATTACAGTGGTCTAAATAAGATTTGGGCTTCTCAATCAGGCCAGATGCAGCATTGTTGATGTTATTAACATATAGGTAGTAATTGAACCCACATATGTGGATGAAATGGTCTAAAGAGAGCAGAGTGACATTAACAATTGATGGCACAGGATGAGAAGCCCAAACTTGGAAGGACCCTCCAGGGAAATAAAAGGAAACCAACAGAAAGAGGGCACAGAAACCAAGGAAAGAGTTTTGTGGAAGGAGTGGCCACCTTCCTGCTACTGCAGAGAGATGGATGAGATAAGGCTCCATGCATGCCCTCTGGGTTGATTATCTGGGAAGTTACAGTTTTGGTGATGGAGTAGGGAAGAACCCCATTTCACTGTTCATTAAGGAGTAAATAAATAGAAACCAAAAGTAGAGACAGTAAATGAAGACTGTACTTCCAACAAAGGTAAATAGTAAGGCCTTTACTAAGCCTGGAATGGTATTACTTGCAGAGGCAGCAGCTTCTGGAAACCCCTGGAGGCATAAAAGGACTTAGATAAGTAATTTTAAATAATTTAATATGAAATCTAAGTATATATATTTTAAATATTTGATTCATTTAGTTTTTTTTTTTTTTTTTTTTTTTTTGGTTTGTCTTTTAAAACTGATCAGTTCTCCTTGGGTGGGGAAAGTGAAGTATGCTTCTATTTAATTCTATGTGTACCTTAGCTAACTTTAAAAAAATACCCTGAGCCCTTTTTATATGAAATAAATTTTGAAATTGCTGAAGCTCTTGAAATTGGAAGGTAGGCAGTAGTATTCTTTTCAATAGTAATGTGCTCCCATGCCTCTCTGCTATTCATACAAGTATTGGATGAAAGCTCCCTCTTTTCCCTGCTTTGCTTGTTTCAGGATGTAAGTCAGAGTACAGTGGAAAATGTCCACTGAACGAACTTCTTGGACAAGCCTGTCCACCATTCAGAAAATAGCCTTGGGCCTCGGGATCCCAGCCAGTGCAACAATTGCCTATATCCTATACCGCAGGTATAGGGAAAGCAGAGGTATGTGAACCCTATGACTGTACATGTGAAAATGTTCAGACATGCTCCTGCCTTGTTAAATTGAAAAAAAACTCTTTCCTTGCCAGGTATTGTGTGGGTTTTTTGTGGGGTTTCTGTCACCTAGCCTGGAGTACAGTGGCACAATCTTGGCTCACTGCAGTGTTGACCTCCTGGGTTCAAGCAGTCCTCCCACCTCAGCCTCCAAGTAGCTGGGACCACAGGCGTGTACCACACACCTGTATTTTTTGTAGAGATGGGGTTTTGCCATGTTGCCCAGGCTGGTCTTGAACTCCTGAGCCTAAGCAACCTGCCCACCTCGGCCTCCCAAAGTGCTAGGATTATAGGCATGTGCCTCCATGCCTGACTCAGGTATTGTGATTGGCTTTCTGTGAGGAATCTTTGACTAAAATTACTTAGTCTTTTTTTTTTTTTTTTGCTTTGATATGGAGTCTCACTCTGTTGCCCACCCTGGAGTGCAGTGGAGCAATCTCGGCTCACTGCAAGCTCTGCCTCCTGGGTTCAAGCAATTCTTCTGCCTCAACCACCCTAGTAGCTGGGATTACAGGTATGCGCCACCACTCCTGGCTAATTTTTGTATTTTTAGTAGAGATGGGGTTTCACCACCAGCGTGGCTGACCTCAAGTGATCCACCTGCCTTGGTCTCCCAAAGTGCTGAGATGATAGGCGTGAGCCACCACACCTGGCCTAGTCTTTGCTATGTTCTTACATAGCAAAGTAAGCCAGTCTATGAAATGAACTCATAACTCCATTGATGTGTTTTATTCAGCAACATCAACATAGCAAAGAGTTCTTTTTTAATTTCTGTACTCATCTTTTTTCTATATTCCTGTTCCCTAGTTGTTAGTAGAAGGCACTTACCTCAAAGGCTGGATCTAATAGGACCTAGAGAAATGACTTAATGTACATATCAGTCAGGAGAAGTTCTGAGCCTAATGGACCCCTCAGACAACCTTTGGCCTTCATTCTTCTCGTCATGTCTTAGGAGAAGTAATTTGCCCAGACCCCAGCACCTCTTTATTGCAGAGTCTGTTTTTCCCATTTTAGCATCTGAAACAGTGTCCCAGAGAAAATGCCCATCTCTGATCTTTTGGGACCTTCTAATTCCCATTCAGATGCCACTTTTCCTTGTTACTATGGTTGAGATCCTCACTTTATCTCTTGGATCAGTGTCTCTTTGACAGCCAGATTCTGGGGAGGACTGGTAGTTATAATAGCTTTGGGTGTTACCTAAGTCTGATCTGATGAACAACGATCTGTGCAGAAGAGCGGCTGACATTTGTTGGGGAAGATGACATTGAGATAGAGATGCGGGTTCCCCAGGAGGCTGTGAAGCTCATCATTGGCCGGCAAGGAGCCAATATTAAACAAGTAAGTGTCTGAGCAGGCAGTCTGCTTTCCCAAGGATTGATTCTGTTTATTGATTTCTTGTTTCCTTCCACTGACCCCATATCACAAAACATTCCCATACTCTGTGTGTGTGTGTATGTGTGTGTGTGTATGTGTGAGTATATATATATATATATATATTTTTTTTTTTTTTTTTTTTTTTTTTTTTGAGGTGGAATTTCGTTCTTGTTGTCCAGGCTGCAGTGCAATGGCATGATCTCAGCTCACTGCAACCTCCACCTCCTGGGTTCAAGTGATTCTCCTGCCTTAGCCTCCCGAGTAGCTGGGATTACAGGCACTCACCACTGTGCCCGGCGAATTTTTGGTATTTTTAGTAGAGATGAGGTTTCATCATGTTGGCCAGGCTGATGTTGAACTCCTGACCTCAGGTGATCCGCCTGCCTTGGCCTCCCAGAGTGCTGGGATGGCCCAGCCACTATGTATATTTTTAAAAGAACAAATAGAGGAACTTTTTAGCTAACTAAACTTTTTGGACTTCCCTTCTAGAGAAGAGTACTTCTCCGTAGAGAAAGGATGACTTAGTTTGAAATATGGGTTTTTGACTGGGTGAATGTCAGCATGTTATAGCTTGAATTTTCTTCTTCTTCTTCTTCTTCTTCTTCTTCTTCTTCTTCCTTCTTCCTTCTTCCTTCTTCCTTCGTCCTCCGTCCTCCTTCCTCCTTCCTCCTTCCTCCTTTCTCCTTCCTCCGTCCTCCGTCCTCCGTCCTCCGTCCTCCTTCCTCCTTCCTCCTTCCTCCTTCCTTCTCCTTCCTTCTTCCTTCTTCTTTCTTCTTTCTTCTTCTTCCTTCTTCTCCTCCTCCTTCTCCTCCTCCTTCTTCTCCTTCTTCTTCTTCCTTCTTCTTCTTCCTCCTCCTCCTTCTCTTTCTTCTCCTTCTTCTTCTTCTTTTCTTCTTCTTTTTTAGACAGAGTCTTGCTCTGTCACCCAGGCTGGAGTGCAGTGGCGCTATCTCAGCTCACTGCAAGCTCCGCCTCCCGGGTTCACACCATTCTCTTGCCTCAGCCTCCCGAGTTGTTGGGACTACAGGCGCCCATCACCACGCCCCGCTACTTTTTTGTATTGTTAGTAGAGACAGGGTTTCACTGTGTTAGCCAGGATGATCTCTATCTCCTGACCTAATGATCCACCCGCCTTGGCCTCCCAAAGTGCTGGGATTACAGGCATGAGCCACCGTGCCTGGCCAAATTATCCTTTTCTATTGTGGAATTAATGAACTCTCATTAATTGACAGTAAATATTGAATGACTACCTGGTTCTTCTTACCATCTTCCATTGTTCAGCTGAAATGTCAAGAAAACAAAATATTTGATTCTCTAATCCAAATAAAATTAGTGAGGGGAAAGGATTCTAAACACAAAGATAAATGGGTTTGAATTCACTGCTATTTGGGGTTATATTTGTTGCTAATTTCCTTCCATAAGGTGAGGACTGGTTGTATAGATAGTAACAACTGAGGTTGTATATAAAGTAACTGAGGATTGGTTGTATAGATAGCATTAGCTGATGCCTTTGGCTAACTCTATCTACCTCCAGGGTTTGTTTTAGAGTGTCTATAGCTGGGCTCATAAGGGAACTCTTCCAGAATGTACTGCCAAATGTCCTTTTCTTTGCAGCTGCGGAAACAGACAGGTGCTCGGATTGATGTGGACACAGAGGATGTAGGCGATGAGCGAGTGCTGCTTATCAGTGGTTTTCCTGTTCAGGTGTGCAAGGCCAAAGCAGCAATCCATCAGATCCTGACAGAGAATACCCCAGTGTCTGAGCAGCTTTCAGTTCCCCAGAGATCTGTGGGCAGAATCATAGGTACCACTGGATGGCTTCCTCTACTGTTTCCTTTATTCTTTACCTTTGCCTCTCTTTCACACCTTCCCAAGGATTTTTTCTGGCCTAGTTCCCCTTTACCATGTGAGGGGGGAAAAAGGGGCGTTGAGACCAGAGGTTTACTGTTTGCAGAACTAGTGGTAAAACCAAACCTGTTTCCTCAAAAAGTTGTGTGATCTGAACCTTACAAATTGATTCTTTATGGGTTCTAGTAGATGTATTATATTTACCTTATAATTGATTTTTAAAGGGAAGCTTGGGATGCTCATGTTATCTCAAGTCTTTTAAGATAGTGCTCTGGAGAGTACCTTTTATGCTTTCCCCTAGAGCATCGCTTAGTGCTGCTGTTAGAGGCAGAGAAATGTCCTGTCCTTGATCCAGTGTTCTGACACACCATGTAGCATATCTTATGACCTGATATGGCCATGCTGAGTGGTCAAAATGAAAATGACATGAAGTTAGCCAAAGTATAGTTTAAATAAAATGAAAAAAACAAAGAATATGGTATTCTCCTTTTCACAGTAATAATTTCAGTAGCTCCTGCTTTCCATTCAACATATTGAATTTTGTTCACTTTAGAAATGAGAACTGATTCTCTTCTCCTAGTATATGCAAAACAGTGCTTTCTCCAGTAGCTAAGGTTGGCCAGGAGGGAAGGGCAGGTTTTTATGTATTGTTTAATGTAGGGAGAGGCGGCGAGACGATTCGTTCTATCTGTAAGGCCTCTGGAGCCAAAATTACCTGTGACAAAGAATCAGAAGGGACATTACTACTATCAAGACTTATAAAAATCTCAGGAACACAGAAGGAAGTGGCAGCAGCCAAGGCAAGTAGCTAATAGACTTGAATTATACCTGAGCATGAGAAGATCCTTTTACTCTATCCCGGGTCAGAGTATCAGCCTTTCTCTTATTTTCCACAGCATTTGATACTGGAGAAAGTTTCAGAAGATGAAGAACTTCGAAAGAGAATTGCTCATTCTGCAGAAACCAGAGTCCCACGCAAACAGCCAATCAGTGTGAGAAGAGAAGACATCACAGAGCCAGGTGGAGCTGGAGAGCCGGCTTTGTGGAAAAACACCAGTTCTAGCATGGGGCCGGCTGCGCCCCTGGTGACTCCTCCACCCAAAGGAGGAGGCGACATGGCTGTGGTGGTGCCAAAGGAAGGTTCCTGGGAGAAACCTAGTGATGACAGCTTTCAGAAGTCTGGAGCCCAGGCCATCCCAGAGATGTCCATGTTTGAAAGTATGTAACAAAGAGGGAGCCCATTAATCATAGAACATAGAAATACTGGCTTAGACATTGGAGAGATTAGAAGGAATGCTTTCTCAGTCTGTGACCAGCCAGTATAATATGGCTGGGGTCAGGACAGAAGATTCAGTAAGATGTTATGAAGATGGGATGGAGGTAGAATCCACACCAATAGTTGCTGGACATTTGAGGATACAGATGTTGATCACTGAAAATGATTTATGCATGTTTAAGATTCAGCTCCTAATTGCAGGAGAGAACTTGGTGCCTCTTCCACTCTGGAGCAAAGTTGGTGAAAGTCTTCTTCCTTTTCCAAAACCCAACCTGAACCACTTCTTTCTTGAGACAGACTATACTGAGATAAGTTGTCACCAGCAAAAGATAGATACGTGACCTTTATTAACAAAGATGAATTAACCAAGAGGATATTTGTAGTTTATTATTTGCCCCAAAACTTTCTGTGTCTGGGTACCCTCTGAATAGGCCTATAATTCTTGCCTTCACTGTATGCATTTTTTATGAGCTACAGACCTATGTGGTGAGAATGCACAGGAGCTTGGAGGTATAAGTAGACAGGGTGGGAAAGAGAGGGCTCCTTTTGCCATGTTTTACCAGCCTGCTCTGTTATAACCTCTTAGGTTATATCCTTTAATTTCCAACCTTCTAGGTTAGTTTCTGTAACAGAACAAATGAGTCTGGGATAAAGTCCTAAAAGTACTTCAAATGGTAATTGTTTTGTTTTTGTAACAGCTTAACAAATAACCTAGGTTTTCTGCTAAAGAAAAAAAGAAAAAGAAAAAGAAATACTGGCTTAGGGCGTGGTGGCGCAACCTGTGGTCCCAGCTACTTGAGAGGCTGAAATGGGAGAATCACATGAGCCCAGGAGGTCGAAGCTACAGTGAGCTGGGATTACACCGCTGCACTCCAGCCTGGGTGACAGTGAGACCCTGTCTCAAAAAAACAAAAACAAAAACAAAAAAATTAAATATTTTTTTAAAAAGAAATACTGGCTTAGATTACCCAAAATAGAAAGCAATAAAAAGCTTGTTTCATGAATACACTTATGTCTATCATCAGAGATAATCCTTTCTGGTAATAATATTTTAGTTGAATTAATACTAAACATAAATATTTTTCTAAATATAAAACAGCTGATGAAAATGGCGAAATGCTGACACAGGAAACAAATGAGTAATACATCCAATAATTGGATTTACCTGATATTGTTTCTCTAGACATACTTTTATTTTTTTTTCGAGACAGAGTCTTCCTCTGTCTCCCAGGCTGGAGTGCAGTGGCGTGATCTCAGCTCACTGCAACCTCTGCTTCCCAGATTCAAGGGATTCTCATGCCTCAGCCTCCTGAATAGATGAGACCACAGATGCACACCATCACCCCCGACTGATTTTTGTATTTTTTAGTAGAGATGGGGTTTCACCATGTTGGACAGGCTGGTCTCAAACTCCTGGCCTCAAATGATCCATCCTCCTTGGCCTCCCAAAGTGCTGGGATTACAGGCACGAGCCACCACGCCCAGCCTAGACATACTTTATCAACAAGTAAAATTCTCAGCCAGATTTTATATTGCCTGTTTCATTATTGTTTTTAAAAATCATCACTATTGAAAAAGAAAAGGCTGTGAGCTATCTCTTCTATACATAGGTGCTAGCGTGGGCAAAGAGGACCTGGGTCCCCAAGAAGCTCACAGACTTGTCCAGGGTGACATAAGCAGTCATTGGTAGAATGGGATCTGGAACAGGCCCACATCCGTTGCTGTCCACGTAAAGGTTGCTGTCCACATATCTTTTTACTGATCCATGCTGCAGCTAGCATATGGAGGTTTACCTTCTTTATAATTGGTGACTGATTTGAATATGTAGCACATGACAAAGAATGTAAGCTGTTATTACTCAGTTACATGGAAAGGTACAAAGGATAGCTTAGTATCTTTCTTTAGGATATTCTTGTTTGATTCATCCAGTTGCCTCTCCTGCCATTTTAAAGTGGTAACAGCCATTGGTATTTGTACCTCTCACTGCCCTGGTGTAATCTCTTCATTCCAACCAGAGATGGGTCCGATGTGGCCACCATCCTTATCTCTGTGTTTAGTCCCCAGTCCTGACTTCAGTTTCCATGCTGATGAGTACCTAGAAGTCTACGTCTCTGCTTCTGAACACCCTAACCACTTCTGGATCCAGATCGTTGGCTCCCGCAGCCTGCAATTGGATAAGCTTGTCAACGAGATGACCCAGCACTATGAGAATAGTGTGGTGAGTTGCCATAGGGACAGGGCTGGGGTTTAATGAAAAGAAGGCAGATCTTTTTCATTGTACTCTCTTCCTTTCCCTGTGGAGTAGCTACTTGTTCTTTCTTCCACCTGTGATTCTGTTTATGAGCCTACCACTTGGTAACTCTGCTTTTCTCCTCCTCCCCACATATAGCCTGAAGACTTGACTGTGCATGTAGGAGACATTGTAGCAGCACCTTTACCTACAAATGGTTCCTGGTATCGAGCCAGGGTCCTTGGCACCTTGGAGAATGGGAACTTGGACCTCTACTTTGTTGACTTTGGAGATAATGGAGATTGCCCACTGAAGGACCTCAGGGCTCTCAGGTCAGTGCTGAGGTCAGCTGAATCCCAACTACTGACTCAGTTCTGGCCATAGAGTGGTGAGCTGTTGGCAGTTGTCAGGGGGATTTGGAAGGGAACCTGTTTACAGAGAGCAGATGGTTATTGTCTCATGTTAGTTGGTTCTTTCTAAAAGAGCAATATAAGAAGATGTTTCTGGCCCCAGGATTCTAATTTTAGTTTCTTTTACTTCAGGAGTGACTTCCTAAGCCTTCCATTTCAAGCAATAGAATGTAGTCTGGCACGGATCGCTCCCTCAGGTAAATTGGTCATGCCACCTTTTGAGCTTACCTCCAAATAGAATAACTTTCTTACAGTTCATTGGAAGGAATTCTCACATTCCCAGGCTTTTTGAATTCTGGGGAGTCAGGTGCCTTTTCCTCACCAACACTAGCAGCAGCCAGAAACTTGCCTGGCGGACCCAACCCGACCAGAGAAGACACAGGTGCCTTCCTGAGTAGAAAAGGGTAGTTCCAGCTTCCCTCCAGGGTATAATCCCCACCCCTATCAGCAGTAACCCCTACAATCTTTTGCCAGGTGACCAATGGGAAGAGGAAGCTTTGGATGAGTTTGATAGACTCACTCATTGTGCTGACTGGAAGCCTCTGGTAGCCAAAATCTCTAGCTATGTCCAGACTGGGATCTCAACTTGGCCAAAGATCTACTTATATGATACTAGCAATGGGAAGGTAAGACTGGTATTCACTCACTGCTTACCATATCTTCAGTATATTTATGGCCTAATTTACTTTTTCTTTCTCAGAAACCTTTATCTGATATTACTCTTACTTTTAAGATCCTTCTCACCATCTCACCAAAGGAATGTCTTTGAAGTGTCAGTCCTTCTGCCTTGTTTCCTCAAATTTGCCCTTGCTTACTGAGAGAACATCATTCCCTTTTCATTTTTCTTCTCAGAAACTTGATATTGGGCTAGAATTAGTACACAAAGGATACGCAATTGAGCTTCCTGAAGACATAGAAGAAAACAGAGCTGTCCCAGACATGTTGAAGGACATGGTGAGCCATTGTAGTCATACAGGGTGCTGCTTCCAGGCAAATCTAGCACATAGACACTAAGGACTTATAGTCCTGATACTGTGTTAGCTTTCCTGAGGACTTTGAGCTCCTCCAATAGTTGACCAAAGGAGCATTTTGTCCCTCTTGGTAGCCAAATGCAATTGCCTTAACCAGGTCCTATAAGAAGAATGAAAGGTGGCCTCTTTTTTCCTAAAAGCCAACATGTTCCTCCGTTTTTACTGTTTTCATCCACTCAGGCCACAGAAACAGATGCCTCTCTCAGCACCTTGCTCACTGAGACCAAAAAGAACTCTGGAGAGATAACACATACCCTGTCCTGCCTCAGCTTATCAGGTACAAGCAGTATTTCCTCCCTAGAGCATCTTTGGAGATTAACTTTTCTCATTCAGTCGTTCCAGACTAGGGAGGTTAATTGAAGGCTTGGTTCCTAGTCAGGTCATTGAGCACCAAGAGGTCTATTTTTCGTTTGAGCCTCGCTGGCAGTGCCTGCTAGAGTGGGGCAGTGTCTAACTTTCTCCTTCTTATTTCTCTCCAATAGAAGCTGCTTCCATGTCTGGTGATGATAACCTTGAAGATGACTACTTACTCTGAAGTCTGGGCTTCAGCTTGCTCAGCCATCTGCTTTGCTGTGTGAGTGCAGCTATCATCTTATCTGTAGCAACAGGAAAGTAATGAGGGTGACAGTGGGGCACTTGCTTTGATTCCCTCTTCCCTGTGCCCTGTCTTAATATACTTCTTTGCAGCTGCTTTCCTGCAGCTTAACTTGCTCTCAGATTGAGCACTTTCAAGCTTTTTGTGTATTTCTGTCTTTGGCAGGATTTGGCATAGGAACTGGTGCCTGGAGGAGAGGAGTATATGATAAAGGATCCATGCAGTCCTTCCTTTATTATACATACAGTCTGGCTTGCTGTGGACCAAATTCATGTTCTCCTCCCATTGGACTACCAAAAAATTGGACTACCACACTACAAGTGTGTCTCCCCCATTCCACCTCCTGATCCCTCCCCAACCCTCCAGTGTTTGAATACTGCTGTGTTACTTCCAGGCCATTCAGCGTCAGACTCAGTCCCTCTACCAGTCATGATACACATTACTGCTAAGCTGTATCCTTTTCAAGGCTGGGAAACAGTCAGGCTTTGGTCATTGGAAGTGATGATTCTGCAGACTTCTGACTCACCTTATCAGGTGACTCTGGTTAAGGAAAGCTTTTGAGTGGTGAACTCAAAGACTCCAGTTGAATCAGGAGGCAAAGGCAAAAATTAGCATAATTATATTTAAAAGCCTCAGGAAGTGGGAAGAGAACACTGCCTCCTATCCTCAATTGCTGATATGTTATTGGAGACAGGCTTTTGAAACTGCTTCGGCTATTTCTCTGTAACCTTTAGTTAAAATACAAGTAGAAAGGAGACAGGAGGCTCAGGAAATTTTCTAAATTGCTAGTATAATATCTATATGTATACACACATATACACCCGTGAAGAGAGAGGAAGAGTATACAGTTCTGTTTAAATCATTCGGAGGATTTTTTTGCCGAATAAAGTTCTCAAGAAAATTTTCTAAAACCAAATTCTGATTGAATCACAAGGTGGAAGCAGGCTGTGAGCCTAAATCTGGTGAAAACTGCCAACTGCCTCACAGAAAGGCAAGTGTCCCTCCCATATACACATTCATATTCTTTTCCTAAAGTCACTTCAGAAATAACCATTCACTGGCTGGGCATGGTAGCTCACACCTATAATCCCAGCACTTTGGGAGGCTGAGGCAGGCAGATCACTTGAGGCCAACATGGTGAAACCCCATCTCTGCTAAAAATACAAAAAATTAGCTGGGTGTGGTGGCATGCACCTGTCGTCCCAGCTACTTGGGAGGCTGAGGCAGGAGAATCACTTGAACCTGGGAGGCAGAGGTTGCAGTGAACTGAGATCACGCCACTGCACTGTAGCCTGGGCGACACTCTGTCTCAAAAAAAAAAAAAAGCCGGGCACGGTGGCTCATGCCTGTAATCCCAGCACTTTGGGAGGCCAAGGCGGGCAGATCACGAGGTCAGGAGATTGAGACCATCCTGGCTAACATGGTGAAACCCCATTTCTACTAAAAACAAAAAAAATTAGCTGGGCGTGGTGGCAGGTGCCTGTAGTCCCAGCTACTTGGGAGGCTGAGGCAGGAGAATGGCGTGAACCCAGGAGGCGGAGCTTGCAGTGAGCCAAGATCACGCCACTACACTCTAGCCTATGCGACAGAGCGGGACTCTTGTCTCAAAAAAAAAAAAAAAATAGAAAAATTAGCTGGGTGTGGTGGCAGGCACCTGTAATCCCAGCTATTCAGGAGGCTGAGGCATGAGAATCACTTGAACCTGGGAAGCAGAGGTTGCAGTGAACCCAGATCATGCCACCACACCGCCAGCCTGGGCAACAGAGCAAGACCTTGTCTCAAAAAAACAAAAAAATTCACTAAGAACCAGAACCAATTTAGGTTTAGGCTATATGAGTAAGACCCCACCTATACTATTCAAAAGAAAAGGCCCAGATTAAGATTCGAGAAACCTGGATTCTAGGAGCAGCTCTGGTAAGTAGCTCATGTAGTCTTGGAGGAATCTTTAAGGAGTAGATCTCCACTGTAAACTTTTTCCAAAATTTTAACGTGTTTCCTTATAGTATCTTTCCATTTCTGACAGTGCTGTGACGCTCCAGTGAGAGCCCTGAAGTACTTGAGGTGCTTGGAAGTAAATATAAATGTATAGTAATGTGGATGGAAAAAAAATGGCAAGTGAAATGAACTTTTTTTAAGGATAAAGCAAGATAAACTAGAAAATTAAAAATTAACACGTAAGGATGCCTCACACAGGTCTTTTAAATTTAGGGATTAGTGAAGTCTACCTATATACTACATGGCAACTATATTTTCTCACAACCACAATTCTCAAAATTTATTTTCTCAGAAAAATCTCAGTATTAGGCACCGGTGGCTCACGCCTATAATCCCAAAGCTTTGGGAGGCTGAGGCGGGCAGATTGCTTGAGCTCAGGAGTTCGAGACCAGCCTGGCACCATGCTGAAACCCCATCTCTACCAAAAATACAAAAAAGTAGGCGTGGTGGTGTGTGCCTGTGGTCCCAGCTACTTGAGAGGCTGAGGTGGGAGGATCGCTTGAGCCCGGGGGGCAGAGGTTGCAGTGAGTGAGCTAAGATTGTACCACTGCACTCCAGCCTGTGTGACACAGCCAATGCTGTCTCCAAAAAAAAAAAAGAAAAATCTCAGTACCAATTAGCAGAAAGGTTCTGGTGAAGGAACAGCTCTGGGAAGTAGTTCATGTAGTCTTGGAGGAATCTTTAAGGGACTTCCATTTATTTGATGTTTCAAATGTTGGCTGCAATGAACTCACTGAAGCATGCTCAGCCCTGGAATTGGTGCTACCAGAGTTCCTTAGGGAACCTTTACTCTTAAGATAGAGATCCCTGATATAAATCATAAGACTTCCTACCCTGGAAAATGAGTAATGTCTCATTCTTACCTGCAGTTTGTTACTATGTATAAAAGTCTTTTTCTTTAATATGCCTTTAAGTCTGACCTGTTTACAGCCCATTCTGATGGGTTGTCATTCTGCTAGTATAACCCAGTACTTTTCCTGCTCCCTGGAATGCCCTCTTCTATGTTACCTATTCTGTCTGTTGAGAATCCCCCACTTGGACCAAAGCCAAGAGATCTATGTCTTCTCTGGTTTTCTCCACATCTGTAGCACCTCAACTGAAATATATGGATAAAAACAGCCCAACAAAGCTTAGTCTTTCTGAACTAGGGAGTTCACTGATTAGTGCTCAGTAAATGGTTAGAATAAATGAGGAAATGGTTTGGGGCATGGAGGAAGGCAAAGGGAACCAAAAATCCTTGGGTACTTTCCCTCTGTAGTTCGGGTACCTGTGGTCTTTTTAGTGAATTTAGCTCTGTAAGGTGTATGTCCCACTCCAGCCAACCCTATTACCCACCCCCGCCCCCCACCCCCGCCCTCACCCAAGAAACAGTGAACACTTGATGATTGCAACTACCCTTTATTCCTAGGATGGAAGGTGTTCTGAATTACATCTCGGGCCCCTGATTCCCAGGTGTCAAGGCTTCCAGCCCCTCAAAGCGTTGGAATAAGCACGTTCAAGGAGGCTCACTGGGCAGGTGGCCAACATCCCTTTCAAGGGGATACACCATAAAGATGACATTGTCCCAGGGAGGGAGGGCAGGGTGACCTGGTCTGACCACCTCAAAGCCCATGTAGCTGAAGGCCCGCAGCAGGGCACCTGTGAAAGGATAGAACAAATGATTAGAACATGCTTTAAAACTCAATACATGTATGCCCCCAGATTTGATTTCTTCCACTAGGGAGTGGCCCTGGGAAGCAGTGTAGTGCAGGCATATAGGATGTGCTTTAGTCAAACAGACCTAGGCTCTAACCTTGGCTTTAACACTTGTTCTGTGAGTTAGTCCTTCAGAACTTCAGTTTCCCATTTATAAAATTTTCCATTTATAAATCATAGAACCTTCCTCCTCAGAGAATTTAAGATTAAATGAGATGTTCATGAAGTGCTTAACACTAGAGATTGGTGAGGTCTACTTATATACTAATACAATGATGGCATAGTAAGCTCTGAAATAGTAGCTATCACTTATGAATGGTTATTCACCATCCATTGTCTTATATCCAACAGAGTTTGAACTCCGTGAGGCAAGAGGCTGTGGTTTTTGTAACATATGCTCCAGGCATCTGGTTAAATATGTTCCCATTCCCTTGGCCTTATGTCTGACCCTTTCACATTGTACGTGCTCAATATATTTGAGATCCATTTTGTCCTGCTGACCACATCCTTCGAATGGATTCTGTCTAATTTTGCCAGTGCTCCTTCAGTCTGGCCCCTAACACCACCTGCAGGGGCTTCCTCAGAGTCCACTTGTAACTTGATGGAACAGAATGCTAGGCACTTTAACTTCCTTCGCGGTGGGTGGGAAGAAAAGAATCCCTGAAATGCCTGAGGGTGCATTTTTAAAGATGGGGGAAGAGGGTCTCCTATAAAGGAAAAGGAGTTATCCAGCTGCCTCAGCACGAAGAGCAAGGAAGAACAGCAGATCCCCACCTCTGTCGTTCCGATCATTCTGGAAGTTCACAAACACGGAGTCCACATTTGTCTTCTCTTCCACGTACTCCAGCGTTGCAGTCAAACTAGCAGCCACAGAAAAACAGTTAAAATGTTTGGCCAACTCAGAATCCAGAAAGACACCTACTTGGAGCAGAAAAAATCTTATTGGTTGTTTTCTGCCCTCCACCCACCCAAGCCAGGAAATGGAAGTTGTTAAACTAGTTTTGGTAGATTTTTCTCTGAAGCCAAGAGATTGCACACCACTGGATGTAAGCCACAGAAGGGGCCTGGAGAGAAACGACTACTGAGATGAACAGTTAGAAAGTACTTCCCGTTATTCAACTATTTCTGGATCTGAGTCCAACTTCCCATGGACTCTTATCCCTTGAAACCCAGATCCTGGCTTAGCTCACAGGCTTGTCTGCATGCCAGGTGAATGGATTGCTTATATCTAGCTCTAGAATTAGCCCTATGTACTATGACATGATAGAAGGGTGAAATCCCCTACCTGTTCCCTCCCCATTCTCCCTTCCAGGCTCAGTCACCTTTCCCGGTTGCCTTGATCCAAGGCCCGATATGGGATATCCAGGAAGAGTCGACGGTCACAGAGAAGGCCGTGCCAATGGGCGGAGGTTTGGGGGGTGAGGCGGAAGTGAAAGTCTAACTGTACTGGGTCCTGGTGGAGCAGGGGATCAGTAGCTAGCACCGTCAAGTTCCCAGCCTGGAAAAGGAGTAAAAATGCTCCTCTAGCCTTCAAATCAGACCTCAGGCAGATTGGGGTGTGTCCGTTGAAGCAAGGTGGGCGTTGATTGGGGGAGCCTGGGAGAATCGGAGCCAAGATCTTAAAGATGCAATAATATCCTTTAGTCCTAGTAACTAATAGCCTATGCCTATTATGGAGTTCTCCTTTATATCAAACAATCCAGCTGAGGCAGTATTACTGCCTGCTGACTTCAACGCAGGAGTACGATAACCATTTAGGAACTTAGAAATGTTTACATCAGAGAGCTTAGGATTTAAACAAAGCTTTATAATGTGCTTCCTTTCTCACTAATAATTTCCACTTTTTTCATTATATGGGTTTTCTCTCAATTCTTCTATTTAAAATGCCGTGATTACAACCAGGCTTGTTATTGCAATGTGATATGTGGGCAAGTTCTGGATTCCAGATCCTGCATAGCATCTAAACAGCTTTATGTCCCAGAAGTCCTATAAAGTTCGTTCTCCCTTTGTCCCCACTCCCTTTTTTCCCATCCTGATTTTCACTACCGTCTGTATGACCTTGATTTTATAGTCTGTGGGCCAGAATCCTTGTCTATATAAAAAGTAGCTTTTACACATGCATTCCAGGATTCCATCTACCTCTATAATTGATCTTCCAACTTGCCAATGTCGCTCCTCTGCAAGGTATGCAAGCAAAGGGCTGCCCTGTCACAGCACCAGCTCACAGTTCACTTACCGAATACAGTTCTTTAAGCTGGTCGTGGTTACCCTGCTCGGTGCTTTTGCCCACCTGGAGGCCTACTAGGGACTCAGGAGCACTGGAGGCAGGAACGGGGCTGGAGTGTCAAGTCCTCCTCTTCCTTATAAGTGATGCTGGTTGGGAAGGAGACCCAAATTAGTTTATCTTGGAATCTGAGATGGGAAGACATAACTTCTAGATACACAGTACCAGGCTCTGGCATGATCTGTATTTTCTGTTGTCCAGCCTGTTTCTATGTTCCTGGGTCAACCAGATGGAAATATTCTAAAGTTCCATGCCAGCTTTCCACCCCCTATTCTGTTGTTATTTCTTGCTATTTGGGAAATTCTTTCAAATTCTTACACTTTTTCCTTACATTTTATATAAACAACTACAAATAGAGATGAAAACAAGTACCTTTTATAACAACGAGGCAGCATCTTCTCCCGGAGGGTGATCCGGTACTTGTAACAGTAAAGGTAATAGGCGTATGGTGACCAGATCGGGTAGAGGTAGTTACGTGTTTTTCCCCTCTTGATATAAGAAAGGGAGTAGACAGAGGGGCGACACCTGTTACAAGGCAGTTTTTCAGTTCAGTGCCTCCCTGTGGCAAAGTGAGGTTCACAGGTGGGTGGCAGAGGTTTAGGCAACCTGGTGTCATTGTGACCCGCTGGGCACTATGACATGGACAAGGGGTCAGCCCTTATGTCACCTCAGGACTCCACTCTGCTGCTCACCTACCGTAATCCCTTATCTAAGGCTCATATTCGACTAGTATGCACGTTATGGCTGTATGAATGATTTAAAAATAGAACTTGAAGACTTCTGTACTGGTTGGCCAAAAGCCCTGCCTGAGCACTTGTGCCCACCCACCCTGCTCCTCTGGGGACACTCCCCTTCCCCTAAAATCCAGCAAATAAAGAGTTGGTATCTGACACTGCAGGAGTCTTCCAAGGCTCTGATCCAGTGGTGACCTGATTAGTTGGTTCCCAGTTCATACCAGTTGAGTGTTTTTATTATCCCTACCCTTAATAACCCAGGGTTGCTACAGATTGTTGAATCCTACCTTGTAGGGTAGGAATTGCAAACTAAATGCCTTCAGGGGCCTAGACGGCTTATGGAAATTAGTGGAGTGACAGGGTAGGGCTGTAGCAAAATAGGAAAGCTCACACCTTATCTAAAGGAAGTCCACACAACTCAGTTCCATCCAGTTCCATGCAGGAATGCAGACTTGATGGTGCTGTATCATATGATTTTTGAACAGAAACTGGAAAGAGAGTTTTGTAGTAAATTTCTCCAATTTAAAAAAATATCGACTACTAAAAAAAGGTTGATACACTGTAAGCAAAATTTGGTTCTGGGGCTGCCAATTTGAGACCTCTGCATATTTATCCATTCAACAAATATTTATCGAGGGTCTATTATGAGCCAGGCACTATTCTAGGTGCTTGAGATACATCAATGAACAAAACAAATCCCTGCCCTAAGGAGCATATCTTCCAAAAGTGAGAGGACAACCCTAGAAAAATAAACATAGTAAATTATTTAGTATGTTAGAAGGTAACTGCTATGGGGTGGGGGGAATAGAGCAAGATAAAGGAAGATAAGGAACATGAAGGGGATGGGTCAGGGTTACAATAACAAATAGGGTAATCTCTCATTGAAAAAAACTGACATTTAAACACTTGGAGGATGTGAGGTTGTTAACCAAGCCAGCATCTGAGGATAAGAGCATCCAATGCAGAAGTAGCCAGTGCAAAAGCCCTGAGCAGGAAATGTGCCTGCTGTTTTCAAGAAACAAGGAGGCCACTGTGGGTGGAGCAGTGTAAACTACAGAGGAGCTAATGGGGTCAGATTACGTATGGCCTTGTAGACCATTTGATGGCCTTTTTCTTTTACCTTGAGTAAAGGAGGAAGTCATTACAAAGTTTTGGGTGGAAGAATGATATGATCTGACTTATGCTTTAAAAAGATCATTCTGGCTGCTATAAATAAGCTACAGAGAATTATAAACTGTAGAGAATGAAGGGATATCTTTTAGGGGACTATTGCAGTAATCCAGGAGAAAGTCGTGTCTTATTCCAGGGTAGAACATTGGAGGTGGTGACAAATGGTTGGATTCTGGAAATACAAGTGCTCCTTGACTTACAATAGGGCTATGTCCTGATAAACCCATCATATGTTGAAAGTATCATAAGTTGAAAATGCATATAATACACCTACCAAACACCATAGCTTAGCCTAGCCTACCTTAAACATGCTCAGACAACTTAGCCGACAGTTGGGTAAAATCATCTAACACAAAGCCTATTTTATAATAAAGTGTTGAATATTTCATGTAACTTATTGATGTCCTACTGAGTGCACATCACCTTCACACCATTACAAACTCAAAAATTGTAAATCCAAGTCAGGGACTATCTGTAATTTAAAGGTAGAACCCACAGGATTTCCTGATGGAGTATGAGGGAAAAGAGTTAGAATGGAAAGAATGGAGTTTCTGTCAACTGAGAGGAGAAAGGCTGCAAATGGGGCAGTTTTGGGGACGGGGGGGCGCCTTAAATAAATTAGGACAGTTAACTTTGAAGTGTCCTTTAGATACATAAGAGGAAAATGACGAGTAACAGTTGAATATTTGAGACGAGTTTGGGAGATGTCTAGGATGGACTAGAAATTTGGGAGTCACTGGCATATAAATGGTATTGTAAGCCACGAGACCGGATGAGATCAACAGTGACTGTATACTGAGAAGAGTAAAGGTTTAAAAACGGAGTCCCGGGGGCTTTGTTTGTTTTTTTGTTTTTTGTTTTTGTTTTTTTTGTTTTTTTGTTTTTTTTGTTTTTTGAGACGGAGTCTCGCTCTGTCGCCCAGGCTGGAGTGCAGTGGCGCGATCTTGGCTCACTGCAAGCTCCGCCTCCCGGGTTCACGCCATTCTCCTGCCTCAGCCTCCCGAGTAGCTGGGACTACAGGCGCCCGCCACCTCGCCCGGCTAGTTGTTTTTTGTTTTTTGTTTGTATTTTTTAGTAGAGACGGGGTTTTCACCGTGTTAGCCAGGATAGTCTCGATCTCCTGACCTCGTGATCCGCCCGTCTCAGCCTCCCAAAGTGCTGGGATTACAGGCTTGAGCCACCGCCCCCGGCCGTCCCGGGGGCATTCTAAGAAGCAGGGAGAAAAGGAGAAATCAGCAGAGGAGACTGAAGAAGACCGGTGTCCCGGAGGCCACGTAAAGTGTATTTAGCAGGAAGGAGGACTGGTCAGTATGTTTAAGGGCCAGTCTTTCCATAATCTCTGCCAAACGGACCTTCTTTCATCCAATTTTTATGGTCTTCTGTCCAGTACTGAGACCCTCCCCAGAGGGAACTGTCGGGGCCCTACCATAGTTGCTTTTTTTCTATGGCTTACACAGCTTGTGATTTAGAATTCTCCTTTATTAGCTTAAATACTGCAGTGTAATTATTAAGGGTTAGGCTCTTCCTGGAGCTGGCAGAATTTTCCAAGGGATCCCATCCTTTACTACTTTTAGGTAGATTTGAAGTAAGGAAAAGTGAGAGCATCATTCATTCTCCCGTCAGTATCCAGTCATCACAAAACGTCAGAATTAAAAGTTACCCCAGCAACTAAAGCTAAAGCAAAGCCCACACTTTCCAGAGGAAGAGCGTCTTTTCCGGCGTCAGTCCAACTAACACTCATTCCATTATCAGTCAGTAATTCTGGGCGTCCCTCCCCTCTGCCAAAAAGAAAAAATAGGCAAGCCGCACTGCCATCTGTCCCCCGGCCCAATCCCCATCCACCAGCTCAGCCCAGACCAAAGCCGCCCCGGCGCGCCGCAGGCAGCCCTGGCGGGGGCCTTTCCTGCCGCCCGACGCTGGGGTCCTCCCTTAGGTCTCATTCTGTGCCTGCGAACATGGCGGCGCTCGTGGTCACGGCTCCGGGCAGAGCTCTGCTACGGGCGGGCACTGAGCGGCTGCTGCGGGGAGGTATCCAGGAGCTACTGCGGCCGCGACATGAAGGGAACTCCCCTGGCCTGGTGCGCGACTTCAGCCTCTCTCAAAATCGGGTGAGGGCCGAGTCTGGGGTAGGGGGTAGATAACGCTCGAGTATTGTTCCTGGAGGCTCACTGGGACCTGGAGGGGGCCGATGTGGGGGTGGCGGGCTTTCCTTTAAGGGCTGGCGGCCGTGGTGGAGGGAGACGGTGTTCCTTGTGGAGACTAGCTCACCGTCGCTTTCCTGGCCGCCAGGGCACGGTCATCGTGGAGCGCTGGTGGAAGGTACCGCTGGCCGGGGAGGGCCGGAAGCCGCGCCTGCACCGGCGACATCGCGTCTATAAGCTGGTGGAGGACACGAAGCATCGGCCCAAGGAAAACCTGGAGCTCATCCTCACGCAGTCGGTGGAGAGTAAGGCCCGGGCCGAGGCTCCTCCTCTGAGGCTGGTCCAATTTGGCATCAGCTTTTTCCTGCCTGTCCCCCTCAACTATGTGCCTTGTTTTTTCTTTGTGGAAATAATCAGCTCTATATGTGAGAAGAGGAAGCCATAAAAACTATTGTGATTGTGACATTGGCCTCCAGCATTGAAAATTAAAACATAAAGACAGCAAGCAACATCGTTAACAGGGTGTGGGGAGAGGAGCCTGACAATTTGTGCCACAACTGACATCCTCTCATGGGACAACTCCTCCCTGTATACAGGGGATATTAAATTTATACATCAAGTCGTAAAGAAACTAATTAGCAGTCTCTTAAATCTTGTTCCTAGTGAGTATGAATTAGCATTTCTTTTAGGAAAAATAAGCACTGTGAGAAAGAGGTGCTTCTCTCTTTGATCATCTTTTCTTTAGGGACTCCTAGATGGTTCTAATCCCCTCTCTCTGTTCTCATTGACAGATATTGGAGTCCGGGGTGACCTGGTGTCAGTGAGGAAATCTTTGGGCCGGAATGGACTCCTTCCTCAGGGACTGGCTGTATATGCATCCCCTGAAAACAAGAAGCTGTTTGAAGAGGAGAAATCGGTGAGCTCAAAGGAAGGACAGAGACTTGGAGAGATAAAACAACTTTTCTCTCGCAGCTTCCTTCCCTTTGATATTTAACTTGAAAATGAAATAGGAACTAGAAGAACAGGAATCCAGAAGCCCAGCCAATGCCCAGCATGGGAATAGTTTGATGCTATTTAACATGGGTTCATTTTTCTCTTACTGCTTTTCATCTTTAACTTTCTTTTCTAGCTGAGACAAGAAGGAAAATTAGAGAAGCTCCAGACCAAGGCAGGTGAAGCGGTGAGTAGAAACGTAAAAAGTATTTATTGATCACTTACAAGACTTAACAACCTTACCCTGAGAGTCTTCCTGATTCCCTTGAGGTCTCCTGATTGCAGGCAGATCCAAGAGTGGGAGAAAGGGGAAGTGTTGTGGCTGCCCCACAAAACCGGTATGGAGACCTCTTGGGAGATCCCTGATGTGTTGGGTGAAGTGCCCTAAAGTACCAAGGGAGGTCCCAATCTGGGAATCAGGGAACCCATGGAATAGTCTGAGATGAGGCCTCCACCTTCAAGGATATTTATGTACAAGTTGGAGAGAACATAGACACATGAGAAGATAATCAGTACAGGCGCCCGCCACTATACCCAGCTAATTTTTGTATTTTTGGTAGAGACGGGGTTTCACCATGTTGGCCATGCTGGTCTCAAACTCCTGGGCTGAAGTGATCCACCCACCTTGGCCTTCCAAAGTGCTGGGATTTCAGGCGTGAGCCATCGTGCTTGGCTTGCATACCTTGTGACCTGACATGTTTCCTCTCCTTTGACTCCAACTCATAATTCCTTTCAGACAGTGAAATTTCTAAAAAGCTGTCGCCTGGAGGTAGGAATGAAGAACAATGTCAAATGGGAGCTGAACCCTGAAATAGTTGCCCGCCACTTCTTCAAGAATGTGAGTGTTCCCAAAAACCACTCTACCCCTGAGGTGGAAGCTGCCTCTGGGAAGGAGGCCTGAGATTGATCCCTTTGTTAGGGAGGGGTGTGATCATCCAGTTGTAGTTAGGGAAATTCTTGGTTGGTTTGCAGGCGTGTGGGAAGGAAATGGCTAAGGACTGAGGATGGTCACATAGAATTTGAAGATTGGTAGGAAAAGGTGATGGTTTCCATTTATTTCCTGTCTACCTAGGGAAATGCTAGGGATTTGTGACTCACTGGAGAATTGTTACTTCTGTAGATGAAGTGGTTTTGGCCTCAAACCCTGTTTCTCTGTGAATCTACCTCCCTTTCTGAGAAATCAGAATTGAATTTCTCTACTACTGTCTATGAAGGTGTATGCCCTTCTCTCCCATGGAATCAGCCAGAGTAGACACCCCAGTTTTATTCATCCCTGTGCAGGAAATCCTGTAACCCTCTTTATGAGGTTACCTAAAGTGGCAGTCACGAAAACAGTTCATTTGAGCTGAGATTTTTTTTTTTTCCAGCTTGGTGTTGTGGTTGCCCCACATACATTAAAGTTACCAGAAGAGCCTATCACACGGTGGGGCGAGTATTGGTGTGAGGTGACGGTGAGTGTTTTGCATACTTTCTTTTCTTCTTTTCTTTCTCCTTTTTCACCCCCTTTTTCCTTTTTTTCCTTTTTCTTTCCCAAGACAGGGTTTTGTTTCATTGCCCAGGCTGGATTCAAACTCCTGGGTTCAAGTGATCCTCCCACCTCAGCCTCCCAGGTAGCTAGCTAGGACTACAGGCATTAGCCACCGCACCTGGCACCTAGCTCTCCCTTTTTTCTTTTTCTCTTTTTTTTTTTTTTTGAGATGGAGTCTCACTCTGTTGCCCAGGCTAGAGTGCAGTGGCATGATCTCAGCTCGCCGCAACCTCTACCTCCCAGGTTCAAGCGATCCTTCTGCCTCAGCCCGCCTAGTAGCTGGGATTACAGGCATATGCCACCATACCCGGCTAATTTTTGTATTTTAGTAGAGACAGGGTTTCCCCATGTTGGCCAGGCTGGCCTCAAACTCCTGACCTCAGGTGATCCATCCGCCTCAGCCTCCCAAAGTGCTGGGATTACAGGCATGAGCCACTGTGCCCAGCCCTAGCTCTCCTTTTTCTGACTGGGAGAAAAGTCAGGGTGAAAAGCTGGGATTAGGTAGTGTTAATTCTTACCTACCTGACTGATCTCTGAGAATTTCCATTGTTTTGTGTGCAGGTAAATGGGCTTGATACTATAAGAGTGCCTATGTCTGTGGTGAACTTTGAGAAGCCCAAGACCAAAAGGTATAAGTACTGGTTAGCTCAGCAAGCTGCCAAGAGCATGGGCCCCACCAGCCCCCAGATCTAAATCTCTCCCTCCAAGACAGCAAAGCAGAATCAGGAGCAGTGGAGCAGAAATGGGCAAGCACCTTGATCTCACTCCCAGTTCTGACCAAATGCAGAATTTTAGAGAACATCCGAAGACATCAGACTGCACTGCGTATACATGTTGAATTCTTCATTTTTGCCATCTTTAACTATCGTCACTGGGGCAGTCTTGTTCCAGAAGTACCAGGCTGTAGATTTGATAAGCCAGATACAATAGACCGAAACTATCCAAAACCTGTTTAGCTTGTTCCTCCATTGGAGTTTATTGGGACAAACAGAAGAACCAGCCATTGTCTCCAGTACTTGCCACATTCTCATCATCCAAACTGAACATTTGTATCCCAAGCAGACATAAAGAGATTATGTTCTTTTTAAGTGTTGTTTATTGGTCTTGAGTAGATGGGACAGGACATCCAGCTGACATACTTCCTTGAGCCACAGAGGTTTGCTGCTACAAAGGAAAGAAGAGAGTATCTTAGACTGCATCCCACAGTTACTGTGGTATGAACAAATTGTGCTGAACAAGTTGATGATGTGTTTGGTCTTAACACTTACTCTTCTTAGATATATTGATGTAGTCATCAGTGTGAATAAGCACAATGGATTCTACTTCTCTAAGACCTGAATAAGGCCTAAGGGTAATTGTTGGAAAGCTGGGATGAAAGAAGCTTTAAAAGGGAACCTTGTTCCTTGAACCAGCTCCCGAAATTCTGAAAAAGAAGTTACCTTAATTTCCTTCACCAAGATTAAGATAGGGAGCTAGTCGTGAGGTAACTCTGGAATGGATGAATGGATGTCTTGATGGGAGATAAGGAAAGTAGATAGTTTTCTTTCTTTTTTTTTTTTTTCTTTTTTGAGACGGAGTCTCGCTTTGTTGCCCAGCCTGGAGTGCAGTGGCATGATCTCCGCTCACTGCAACCTTCCAGGTTCAAGTGATTCTCCTGCCTCAGCCTCCCAAGTAGCTGGGACTACAGGCATGTGCCGCAGCACCCAGCTAATTTTTTATATTTTTACTAGAGACAGGGTTTCACCATATTGACCAGGCTGGTCTCAAACTCCTGACCTCATGATCCACCCACCTCAGCCTCCCAAAGTGCTGGGATTACAGGCATGAGCCACCACGCCTGGCCTGAAAGTAAATAGTTTTCTGTAAGTTCAGAGTTTCATTAGTAGAAAAAAGAACATTCATTTTCAGGTGGATTGTGCCAAGGTCACTCAAATACAGTGTGAGGTCATTCAGTTTAGGGTAGTAGATGGGATCATTGACTCCTTTGCTATCCATACCATACCAGATGTTGGTTTCTTTCCTATTTGAGCTCACCTACCACTCTGAGTCAGTTAAGCACTTCCATTCACTTTCATCCCTTCTCAGCTAATGAGAAAGTCTGTCATCAATAGTTGCACTGATAACTATAGCCAACTTCATACTTGACAGAGCTCTATAACTCAAGTCTGGCGCTGGCACTATCTGAAATTTAGCATTTCTCCCCTCCTCACCTTTTTTTTTTTTAATAGGAAAATAACATATTAGGGAGTAGGCAGGCATCCAGACTCAGAACTGGAATTGCTTCTTGGTGGCACTGGGGACCATGAGCATGTTGAAGTGCACCATCTTGCTCATGCTGGTGCTTACCCAACCATGATGATGTTGCTGATCTGGACATCCCTGATGCAAGGGGATGGGTGCATTAACATGTTCTTGTGCTTCTTGAAGCAACTGTACTTATACATGTAGTGGAAATAATCTTGGTGGATGATGTTGATCTTTTGCATCTTTTATCTTTTGCATCTTTTATCTTGGTCACCATGCAGACAGGATCCACCCTCAGATGGAGACGTTACCAGTGAAGGGGCAATCAGTGTAAATATAGGTGCCCTCGGCCTATACAGGTATATTGACGCCAAAACTGATTTTCTTTTTTTAGGGATGGAGTTTCTCTCTCGTTGCCCAGGCTGGAGTGCAATGGCACAGTCTCAGCTCACTGTAATCTCCACCTCCTGGGTTCAAGCGATTCTCCTGCCTCAGCCTCCCGAATAGCTGGGATTACAGGTGCCTGCCACCACACCCAGCTAATTTTGTATTTTTTTAGTGGAGACGGGGTCTCACCATGTTGGCCAGGCTGGTATTGAACTCCTGACCTGAGGTGATCCACCCACCTCAGCCTTCCAAAGGGCTAGGATTACAGGCATGAGCCACCGCGCCCAGCTGCAGACTGATCTTATGGTCCTATAGGAACTTATCATTGCCAGTATCTCCCAGCAGGACCCTCTTGTTTTGAAAGATGGTTGGCTGCTTTTGGTAGGCACACTCAGTCTTGGATTTAACAGAACTTCCTGAAAGGTTTGAGCCTCCATTAACTTGCAGAGACCCCAGCATTTAGGAAGCGCTAATCTAGATTGAAGCAGATGCATACACTTCCATACCCCAGTTAATCCCTAGTGTGTTGGGGACACCCAGAATTAACCCCCAAACTGAAGCATAGAGTTCTGCCATCCTGTACACGCTCCTGAGGTTTGGAGAGGACCTGCAGCCTCATCATGAGCCCCAAGCCCACTGAAATTTGCCATTTCAGTGATCCCCATTCCTATTGTCCTTGAAATGGTAGGCTCGTTAAACACAGCATCTCTCAACATGACCATCATGAAGCTCTCTGAAATTGAGCAACAGGCACACATTTAATACAGCTAACCTTAAAAAGCATTTAAATACCTGCCACAGGTTGCGTTCTTGGCAAAAACACTGTGTTGGAGATTCATGTGCAGGAAGTTTATTGGGAGGAGTTATCTGCATCAACACCTGTAGGGGAGTAAAGGCAGTAGAATTGGGTAGAGGGAGAAATTGAGCTGATGCAGTCTTAACAAATGCCTCAGTCAACCAGGAACTCAAACAAGGATGGCTCTACCGGATGCCCTAATAGGACAAATAGGCTGGACCTTATCTCCCTACTTGACCAGGAAAGGGGTATGATCTTGAGTGAGTTGGCTGACTTCAGCCAAAGGCAGGCCCCGAATGGGGCACAGGTGACGGCTGTCAGCATTCATAGCAGCTTCAGTCCTGAAGGGGAAGATATGGGCAGCACACTGCAGTCAACACTACAGTCCACCCCTTGCACTGCTCAGACTGATTTGTTTCATTAGTTCTGGAATGGTTTCTTCAGGATTCTGATGGATCTCTTTCTGGGGAAACTTAAAAGAGGAAGGTCTGGGACAGGCCACAGCCTCTGCTGCTGTAGCTTGAGTTTGCAACTGGCATTCACCTCCCTTCTCTACTACCCATTGTTGATCTTTCCCTAACTCCCTGAGACTTGTACCTCTGGTTCATGGGGGTTACCAGATGAGGTACCTGGCTATCATGCCCTTCTCAGGCTATGACTGCACTTGTTCATTTATCATCAAAATTGGGCAAGGAGAAACATACTCAAGTGGATGATCTGGGTGCCCAATATATTCTTCCCTGTCCCCACTGTGTAATAGCAGCCCCACCTCCTGATAATGACTCCTTTCCTTGCTTTCTTGTCTCTTGGTAGTGAGTTGGAGTAATCTGGTGCCTGCCATAGCTTAAAGTTTAGTGAGACTCAGTGTGTCCACTGGTGCAAATATTCCCCTTCTGGGAACCAGGACTTCTAAACCCTTAGAGACCAGAGTTGGGATAGAAGGCACAGTTTCTCCAATTGGATCACTGGGAGTGATGATAATGGTGGGCTGCTCCTACACCCACCCTTTGTTCCCCAGAGCCATATATTTTCCTTAAGGATACACTATTCAATGGCAATTGGTCTCGGTCGGGTATGTACTGCATCATGAAGGATGATGCCTCCTCCTTACAAGGTATCATCTCCAATCTGGTGCCTTAGCTGTGCTTTTAACAAGCACTATTGGGGGAACCACCCCTGATAATTCAACGTAGGTTCTTTTCTATTTCCCTAAGTGTTGGCCAGTCTGAGAAATAAAGGGAAAGAGTGCAAAAGAGAGAAATTTTAAAGCTGGGTGTCTGGGGGAGACATCACATGTCGGCATTTTCCATGGTGCCCCCTGAGCCGTAAAACCAGCAAGTTTTTTTTAGTGATTTTCAAAGGGGAGGGAGTGTATGAATAGGGTGTAGGTCACAGAGATCACATGCTTCACAAGGCAATAAAATATCACAAGGCAAATGGGGGCAGAGCACCAGGGTGAAATTAAAATTGCCAATGAAGTTTTGGGCATGCATTGTCATTGATAACATCTTATTAGGAGACAGGGTTTGAGAGCAGACAACCGGTCTGACTAAAATTTACTAGGCGGGAATTTCCTCATCCTAATAGGCCTGGTAGCGCCACGGGAAACCAGGGCTTATTTCATCCCTTATCTGCAACCGTATAAGACAGACTCCCAGAGTGGCCATTGTAGAGACCTCGCCCTAGGAATGCATTCTCTTTCTCAGGGCTGTTCCTTGCTGAGAAAAAGAATTCAGCAATATTTCTCCTACTCACTTTTGTAAGAAGAGAAATATGGCTCTGTTCCGCCCAGCTCTCAGGCAGTCAGACCTGATGGTTATCTCCCTTGTTCCCTGAACATCACTGTTATCCTGTTCTTATTTCAAGGTGCCCAGATTTCATATTGTTTAAACACATGTGTTTTACAAACAATTTGTGCAGTTAACACAATCGTCACAGGGTCCTGAGGCAACATATATCCTCAGCTTACGAAGATGACGGGATTAAGAGATTAAAATAAAGACAGGCATAGGAAATCACAAGAGTATTGATTGCGGAAGTGACAAATGGACAAATGTCCATGAAATCTTCACAATTTATGTTCTTCTGCCATGGCTTCCTCTGTTGGGGTCCCTGCCTTCCCACAAGAAAGCACTGTATCAGGGAGCAGCTTCTGCATAGTATGGTATGTGATTAAAGCCAATCCCACCATCATGTACACAGCATTCTACCTCCTTGCTATCAAGTGGGTCTCTTGGTTTGATGCAATGCTACACAAGATTTCAGGCCAATGGATCAAAATTTTGTAAACCTTTGGATGGTGTTGCTGACCAAGGCTGTGCAGGCAGGAAAGGCAAACCAATACCCATAATATACATCAATGCCCCTTCAATATAGAACACTTCCCCTTCCAAGGTAGCAAGGATACAGTGTAATCAACTTACCACCAAGTGGCTGGATGGTTTCCTTGACGAATGGTGATATCAGGCTAAGAGTTAGTCTTTGTTGCTAGCAAGCTGGACATTTCACTGATGCAGTAGTTAGATCAGACTTGATGAGTCCATGACGTTGAACACTTACATTAGCTCTACTGTGGCTCCTCCATTCATATGATCACTTTGCCAGCATTGGGGTGCCAGCAATAAAGCCTGGTTAAGATTATTTGGCGAAGTCATTCCATCTGCTTGGTTGGTGCCTTTTCTGTGGTGGATGTTATCTGATGGGAAAAAACCTGCAATACAAAAATCATACACTGTACACCCATTCTCAGGTACATTATGTGCCTTTCCCCCACACTTCCTCGTTTTTAATCTTCCAGTTTGTCTTCCAGGCCCATGAATCTATATATATTCTTTCTTCTGGCAGGTACACAGGCCATCTCTAAGTGAGGCCATAGTGCAGCCACAGTGTATTTCCAGCTTACTTTCACCTACTGAGACAACCTGTACATTAACCATGCCCAGCCTTTTTCCTCTTCTGTCATCATGTCATGAGGGATCACCGACCAATGTGGCTACAGATGTAAACTGAGAAAGAACCACCAGTGCATCAGTGGTGGGTGACAGGGGATCTGGGCACCTGCTTATGTAGCTCACTTTTGCCTTCCAGCCCTGCTTGTGCCCAATTCTACATATACCACTTTCATTTTATGAAGGATGACTGGTAGACCCACCCAGCCTTATGACTTGTGGGTTTGACAGAACCCAGGTTATAATACATCATCACTTACCGTCCCATAGGTAAGCACATTGTCTCAACTAGGACTCAGTAGCATTCCAGGAGCTCTCTTTTGAAAGGTGTATAGTGCTCTGTTTCAGATGGCATGGCATTGCTCCAGCACTATAGGGGGTGTGTGACTTACTATTGGGATTTATCACTAACAGTATATGATCTTTTCTCACCACTGACACGTCTAATATAATATGGTGTCTTGTGAGCCAAGCAGCAGGGCCATTTGTACCACAGTCTTGACCTGTTACAGAGCTTTTTCCTGCTCTGGGACCCACTCAAAATTGGCAGCCTTTTGTGTCACCTGATATTTGGGTCAGAGCAACATTCCCAAGTGTGGAATATGCTAGCAACAGACCCCAAGATGTTTGCAAGGCATTGTGCTTTTTAGTGGTGAGAAACATGAGATGCAAAATTTCATCTTATCATCTTTGGAGGGAATGCCCTGGTATGCTTCAGACCACTGGACTTTTAAAAACCTCACTGATCTGGCAAAATCCTGAATATTTTTAGGGTTCTTGCAGTACTATTTGAAGAAAATTTATCCTACCAAGGCCTCTGATATAGGCATCATTTCAGGTTCATCCTGTACAATTACCATGATGTCATCAGTGCAGTAATGGGATGTCCTATGGAATGTCCGAATGGTCCAGGTCCCTTCAGACTATATTATGACAGAGGCAGGAGAGTTTACACGGTCCAGAGGCAAAACTGTAAATGTATATTATTGCTCATCTCAGTGGAAGCAAGCTTTTATGGTCTTCCTTTTCACAGGGATGAAAAAGGGTTCACTGTCCAGATCAATACATACCATGTAGGCTATGTTAATCTTTTCCAGCAAACATACCACATTTGGAACAGCAGATAGAATTAGCATTATTTGTTGATTGAGATTGCAGTAATCCATACTCACTCTCCAAGATCTGTCTGGTTTTAGCAGTTGCCAGACAAGTGAATTAAATGGCAATATGATGGGCACCACCAACTCTGCATGCTTTAGGTCTTCAAGCGGGGCACTGATGTAGGTAATTTTTATTTATTATATTGGTCCGGAATGGTAGAGGCAGTTCCAGGCACTTCATGTTGGTCTTCCTCACTATGATATTTCCTACATCACACACCAAAAGACCAACCTGGTGGTTCTGCCAACTGTCAAATATGTCTATTCCAACTGTCCGTTAAGGACTCATGAAATAACCACTAGGTGAGTGTAAACCTGATAGACCTACTGAGAGTCAGACCTGGAGCTGGAATACAATTATTACCTACCCTCCACACCCTACCACTCTAACAGAGTGGAGCTTCAGATCCTAGGGTGTCAATGTCAATGGACTCTCCAACAGTGCTTTAAATGTTTGCATAGTCCTCTTTCTCTCATGTGTGTTATGAAAATAAAAGATCTTAAGTCCCTGTGGGTTAGGATTGGGAAAATTACTACCTTATATACTTGTCATGGTGTCTCAGGGTCCTTTCTGCTAGAGACATAGCCTTTTTAGTAAATTGTTTCCACCTGAAAAATTGTCCCAATAAGACTTTCGCTTCTCCCAAGAAGGAAGTACAGCTACAGAAATTGCCTTCCCACTATACAACTATGAAACCAGATAAAATTATGAAAGAAATATTTATAGACAATGGAAAGCCGGTAGTGCAGAATTTTAACTGACAAAAGGGAAACAAGGTGAGTCACATGATTGCCTCAGCTTACTGCCTAGAGGCAGTTTCCTGCACTACACTGTTAGGAGCAGTGCAGAGAGGGGAGCCCCAATAGAGCTAGCAGTCTCATTGAGTAGAGAAAACAGATTAGAGTTGGTGGAGAATGCGTTGGCTAGAAATTAAGAGGGAAGGCCAGGCATGGTGGCTCACATCTATAATCCCAGCATTTTGGGAGGCCGAGGCAGGCGGATCACCTGAGATTGAGTTTGAGACTGGCCTGACCAACATGGAGAAACCCCGTCTCTACTAAAAATACAAAATTAGCTGGGTATGGTGGCGCATGCCTGTAATCCCAACTATTCAGGAGACGGAGGCAGGAAAATCGCTTGAACCCGGGTTCAAGGTTGTGGTCAGCCAAGATCGCACCATTGCACTCCGACCTGGGCAACAAGAACGAAACTCCATCTCAAAAAAATAATAAACAAAAAAGAAAGAAAAAAAGAAAAGAAAATAAAGATTAAAAGGGAAAACACTAGAGACGAGGGAATGATATAGAGAGGGCTTTGGAGATCTGCCAAGAGGTCCCAGACCTCAAAACTTTGGCTGAATACTGGTATGTATGTTAATGAGGTAAAATTCCACAGGGCAGGGGGTTAAAAACAACAACAACAACAACAGAAAATGAAAGGCCAAACAATTCTCAGAACTTACACAAGATTGGGAATATTTTGTTTATGTTCCTGACAGCCCATATGAATAGATCCTATAATACATGGGGCATCACATAGAGACTTTAAAAGGACTTAGTAGTGAACGATAGAATAAAGGTTACTCTGGAGCCATCATGCAAAGCTTGAAAGCAAGCACTGATGATCGAACTGATACCAAGCATGGCAGAACCAAGTCCAACACTCATTAGAGAAATGCAACAAAACCTAGCACTGAACAAAATCAAATTCCCAAGGTCTGACATTCAATTTAATATTGTTGTACTGGATGTGGTGGCATGTACCTGTAGTCCCAGCTACTCAGGAGGCTGAGGCAGGAGGATCACTTGAGGCCAGGAGTTTGAGGCTGTAATACACTACGATCACACCCAATAAAAGCCACTGAACTTTAGCCTGGGCAACACAGTAAGACTCCGTCTCTTAAAAAAAAAAAGGATTGTAAAAATAGATAGGAAGGCTGGGCGCGGTGGCTCAAGCCTGTAATCCCAGCACTTTGGGAGGCCGAGACGGGCGGATCATGAGGTCAGGAGATCGAGACCATCCTGGCTAACACGGTGAAACCCTGTCTCTACTAAAAAATACAAAAAACTAGCCGGGCAAAGTGGCGGGTGCCTGTAGTCCCAGCTACTCGGGAGGCTGAGGCAGGAGAATGGCGTGAACCCGAGAGGAGGAGCTTGCAGTGAGCTGAGATCTGGCCACTGCACTCCAGCCTGGGTGACAGAGCAAGACTCCATCTCAAAAAAAAAAAAAAAAAAAAAAATAGATAGGAAAATGTTACCCAGAACCAAAAGAAACAGTCCCAGAAATGTCAGAAATGGTGGAATTAGTAGACAGGACATTAAAAGAGATATAAATATGCTTTTTTTTTTTTTTTTGAGATAGAGTTTCACTCTTATTGCCCAGGCTGGAGTACAGTGGTGTGATCCCAGCTCACTGCAACCTCCACCTCCCCGGTTCAAGTGATTCTCTTGTTTTAGTCTCCCCGGTGGCTGGGATTACAGGCGCCGGCCACCATGCCCAGCTGATTTTTTTCAGTAGAGATGGGGTTTCACCATATTGTCCAGGCTGGTCTCAAACTCCTGACCTCAGATGATCCTCCCACCTCGGCCTCCCAAAGCGCTGGGATTACAGGTGTGAGCCACCGCACCTGGCCTTCATGTTCTTAAGAATGAAATAAAGGAAATGAAAGTAGACCCTTATTTCATACCATATGTAAATATCAACTCAAAATGGGGTAAAGACTTACATGTAAGACCAGAAACAATAAAACTACCAGAAGAAAACATAGGGGGAAAGCTCCATGACATTGGTCTGAAAAATGATTTTTTAGATATGAGCCCAAAAGCACAAGCAACAAAATCAAAAGTAGACAAACAGAATTGCATCAAAATAAAAAGCCTCTGCACAGCAAAGCAAAAAATCAACAAAGAGACAACCTACCCAGTGGGAGAAAATATCTACAAACCATACATTTGACAAAGGGTTAATATCCAAAATATATAAGGAAATCTAACAATTCAATAGCGAGAAAGCAAATGACCTGACTTTAAAAATGGGCAAAGGGCCGGGTGCAGAAGCTCACACCTGTAATCCCAGCACTTTGGGAGGCCAAGGCAGGCAGATCACTTGAAGTCAGGAGTTTGAGACCAGCCTGGCCAACATGGTGAAACCCCGTCTCTACTAAAAATACAAAAATTAGCCGGGTGTGGTGGTACACGCCTGTAATCCCAGCTACTGGGGAGGCTGAGACAGGAGAATTGCTTGAACCCAGAGTTGCAGTGAGCTGAGATCCCAATACTGCACTCCAGCCTGGGCAATAGAGTGAGACTCAGTCTCAAAAAAAAAAAAAAAAAAAAAAAAGGCAAAGGGCCTGAATAGACATTTCTCAAATGAAGAAATGACCAACAAGTATACGAAAAAATGCTCAATTAAAGCCATAATGAAACGTCACCTCACATCTGTTAGAATGGCTACTAATAGACAAAAGATAACAAGTGTTGGTAAGAATAAGGAGAAGAGAGAACCCTGGTCCACTGTTGGGATTTTCAGTTAGTACAGCCATTATGGAAAATGGTAATTTCTTTAAAAATCAAAACTCTAACTACCATTGAAGACTTTTCTG